CCTTTTAGAAAAAATATGTGTAGTATAATTTATTCCTAGAATGATCTAGGTCAGTTTCTAAAACTGGGAATTCCTGGGTACTTCTAAAGGATTGCTGGCCCTGGCCGGGTAGCTCAGTTAGTTAGATCATGGGCCTGGTACACCAAGATTGCATGTTTGATCCTTGGTCAGGGCACATAAGAATTAAACACTGAATGCGTAAATTAGTAACAATCAGTGTTTCTCTCTCTTTTTCTTTCTCTTTCTCTCTGTCTCAACTTTCTCTTAAGTCAGTATCAAAAGGAATTAAAGGAGTGCTAATGTGGATTTACTCCTACTCACTTGCTCTGAGCTCCAGCTCTGGGGCAGCAGTTCCAATGGCAGCAGAGACATTGTCCAGTGAGGACTGGAAGGGCAGCTTTTCCCCGACAGAAGTGCTGGCAGAGGCCATTGTTTCTTTGCCGAGCCCTCAGATATGTGTCATATCTGAGTCTCCATCAACCTGGCTAAGACTGTTTGCTCCACCCCACCCAACTTGCGGCCCCACACAAGCCATTTCCAGTGGATTTTCCATACAAACAGCATGTCTTGGCTTGTGCTTTGGACTTTTCTAAAATCTTTCAAAGGCTCACAAACCCCAAACAAGCAGCATCTGGCCTCTGCATGCTTCGTACCTCGCTAAGTGGCCACAGGCCCAGCACTAGTGGGAGACGGCTTCAGTTCACAGCCTGGCTTCTCCCAGACACATCCAAACCCAGCAAAGTAGCAGCCATCTGCAGATTGATTTGTAGTTCATGCTGGGTGGCCCGGCAGGACATAGGCAGCCTCTGACTTTGGGTTGTACCTCCTATTAGGTCTCAGAGCTATCAACCCAGTGGACAGCTTCAGACCATGCCACAGTATTATTGAACCAGCTCCACAAGCTATACAATCAAGGGGCAGACTTGCCAGGCACCCACCAGAACCCTGCTGAAGTGAGTCCTGCTTCCTGAGGTTGGCACAACACATCCTCTATTGTGGTCACAGTCAGTCCTTGCAACCAACTGTCCTGTGGGTAAATTCCTCCCATTGATGTGCCAACAGCTATCAAGGCTCAACTACAATAGGAGGGTACACACAGGCCACGGGGTGAGGGGGGTGCACCTGGAGCACCTAGTTTGGGTCACCAGCAAGGCTGCACCACTGGGCCCTACAGGACACCTACTCCATAAGGCTACTATGTCAAAACCAGGAGACATAGCAGCTCTATCTAATACATAGAAACAAACACAGGGAGGCAGCCAAAATGAGGAGACAAAGAAACATGTCCCAAATGAAAGAACAGAGCAAAACTTCATAAAAATAACTAAACAAGCCCAGTCTGTGTGGCTTAGTGGATTGTCATTCCATGGACTGAGAGGTCCTGGTTTAATTCCTCGTCAGGGCACGCACCCAGGGTTGCAGACTCCATCCCCGGTAGGGGTGCGTGCAGGAGGCAGCCAATTGATGTATCTCTCTCACATCAGTGTTTCTGTCCCTTTCTCCTTTCCTCTCTCTAAAAAAATCAATAAAAATATATTTTAAAAAATAACTAAACAAAATGGAGACAAGTAGTTTACCAGATACAGAATTCAAAACACTGGTATTAAAGATGCTCAGTGAACTTAGGAGAAGAATAGAGGAACTTAGTGTGAGAATTTCAACAAAGAGATAGGAAACATAAAAATGGAGATAGAAAACACAAAGAACCAGTCATAATGAACAATTTATTAACTGAATAAAGAATATTACAGGGAATCAGCAGAGTAGATGAAGCAGAGGATTAAATCAGTGATTTGGAAGATAATCAGAAAACACCTAGTGAGAAGAGCAAAAAGAAAAAGAACTCAAAAACAGAATAGTTTAAGGAGCCTTTGAGACAACTTCAAGCATACCAACATTCACATTATGGGGGTGCCAGAAGGAGTAGAGAGAGAGCTAGCAATTAAAAACCTATTTGAAAAAATAATGACAGAAAACTTCCCTAACTTGGTGAAGGAAATAGACATGTTAGTTTAGGAAGTGTGTAGAGTTGCAAACAAAATGAACTGAAAGAGGCCCACACCAAGACACATCATTATTAAAATGCCAAAGGTTAAAGACAAAGAAAGAAGCTTAAAAGTAGCAAGAGAAAAGCAGTTAGTTACCCATAAGACTGTCAGCTGATTTCTCAACAGAAACTTTGCAGGCAAGAAGGGATTGGCAGGACCTATTCAAAGTGATGAAAAGCAAGGACTTGCAACCAAGATTACTCTACCTACAAAGCTATCATTTAGAATCAAAAGACAAATAGCTTCCCAGACAGTAAAAACCTGAAGGAGTACATCACCAGCAAACTAGTATTATGTGAAATGTTAAAGGTTCTTCTTTAAGAAGAAGAAAAAGTAAGATAAAAAATATGACCAATAAAATGACAATAAATACATATCTATTAACAGTTGTGAATGCAAATGGAAAAAATGCTCCAATTAAAAGACATACAGGGGCTAAGAATGGATATGAAAACAAGACCCTTACATATGCTTCACTTCAGATTGAAAGACACATACAAACTGAAAGTAAAGAAATGGAAAAAGATGTTTTCTTTTTTTTTTTTCCCTATTTTTCTTTTATTTTTATCCTCACCCGAGGATGTTTATTTGCTTTTTTTTCTATTTATCATCAGATAGAGTGGGAGGAAGAGAGAGAAACATCAATTGATTGCCTCCCGCACAACCCGGTCAGGGCCAGGACAAACAGCAACTGAGGTATGTGCCCTTGACCGGAATCGAACCCGGGACTCACTGGTCCAAGGGCCAGTGTTCTAACCACTGAAACAAACTGGCCAGGGCAAAAAAGATATTTCTTGAAAATGGAAACAAAACAAAAAAGCTGGGATAGCAATACTTATACCAGACAAAGTAGACTTTAAAACAAAGGCTATGTGTGACAAGAAACAAAGAAGGACTCAGCAATTCCACTTCTGAGTATTTATCCAAAGAAACCCAAAACACTAAATTGAAAGATGTATATATTCATATGTTCATTGTCATAGAAAATGACTCAGTCACATAAAAGGAATGAAATCTTGCCCTGGCCGGTTTGGCTCAGCGGTTAGATCGTCGACCTGCGGTCCTGAGAGACCCGGGTTCGGTTCCCGCTAAGGGCATGTACCTCGGTTGCAGTTTGTCCCCGGCCCTGGTTGGTCGTGCGGGTGGCAGCCACTCGATGTGTCCCTTTCACATCGATGTTTCTCTCTCTCTCTCTCTCTGTTCCTCTCTCTCCCTCCCACTCTACCCGAACAAAAAAATGGAAAAATGTCCTCGGGTGAGGATAAAAAAAAGGAATGAAATCTTGCCATCTGCAAAAACAAGGATAGACCTAGAGGATTGTGCTGAGTGAATAAATCAGACAGAAAAAGACAAATGCCATATGATTTCACTTATACATGGATACTAAAGAACAAAATAAATGAACAAGCAGAACAGAAGCAGACTCATAGATACAGAGAACATTTTGACAGTTATCAGAGGAGATGGGGGATGGGGGATGGGTGTAAAAGGTGAAGGTATTAAGTGTAATTGGTAGTTACAAAATAGATATGCTGCCCTGGCCAGTTTGGCCCAGCGGTTGAGCATTGGCCTGCGGACCAGAGTCCCAGGTTTGGTTCCTGCTAGGGGCATGTACCACATAAATGAATGAGTGAATGAATGAATGAATGAATGAATGAATGAATGAATGAATAAATAAATAAAAGTTGAACATGTTTTATTTTTTTGTTTATCCTCACCCAAGGACATTTTTCCATTTTTTGTTCAGTTAGAGTGGGAGGGGGGGGGGAGAGAGAGAGAGAGAGAGAGAGAGAGAGAGAGAGAGAGAGACATCGACGTGAAAGGGACACATCGAGTGGTTGCCATCCGCACGACCCAACCAGGGCCAGGGACAAACTGCAACCAAGGTACATGCCCTTAGCGGGAACCAAACTCGGGTCTCTCTGGACCGCAGGCCAACGCTCTACCACTGAGCCAAACTAGCCAGGGCTAAAAGTTGAACATGTTTAAAAAAAAAATAGACATGCTGTATAGGGAATAAAAATGTGAATAATAAAATTGTAATAAATACATATCTATTAACAGTTATTTATTTTACATATATATAGATATATATATATAAACACACACACACACACACATATATAGATTTTTTTATCCTCACCTGAGGACATTTTTGCATTTATCTTTTAGATAGAGTGGGAGGAAGAGAGAGAGAAACATCAACATGAGAGAGACACATCAAGTGGTTGCCTCCCACATGACCCCAACCGGGCTGGCAACAAACTGCAACCAAGGTACATGCCCTTAGCGGGATTCTCTGGTCCTCAGGCTGATAATCTGACTTCTGAGCCAAACTGGCCAGAGCTATTAGCAGTTATTTTAAATTCAAATAGATTAAATGCTCCAATTAAAAGACATACAGGGGCTAAAAGTACATAGGAAAACATAACCCTTATATATGCTTCACTTCAGTAATTTTTTAACTACGTATGTTGTCCCGCCAGTGTGGCTCAGTGGTTGAGTGTCGACACATGTGCCAAGAGGTCACCAGTTTGATCCCCAGTCAGGACACATGCCCAGTGGGGGGGCATGCAGAAGGCAGCCAATCAATGTTCTCTCTTATCAATGTTTCCATCTCTCTCTCCCCCTTCCTCTCTCTCTAAAATCAATAAAGGCAAAAAATAATTAAAATAACTACGTATGTTGTCAGATGGGTACTAGATTTATCAGGGTGATCACTTTGTGAGTTATATTAATGTCTTATCACTGGGTTGTAAACCTGACATGAATATAATATTGTACATCAACTGTAATTGAAAATAAACATTATTTTAAAAATAAAAAGTAAATTTAAAAATATAAAAGGAGTGCTACTGTCTATTGATCACCATTCTTGGGATGATGAATGGTGGTGACTACTGTGCTGCTGCTGAATCTAAAGGGTCCCTTTTTTCCTTACTTTCCTTGTAGGTTCGTTAGTAGAATAGGAATATCTCCTCCTATGATGTAGTCTGCAGCAAAGTAAACAAAATGTGATATGCACTGCCTTTCATAGTGCCTGGAAAATAGTGGATACTCACTAAATATTCATAAATTTGCAAGGCAGTGAGAACCAGAGCTCGATTACATGTGGGAATATGATTTAAATGTATGACAAAAACACTGTAAGCTTTCTGTAAGAGAGCTACAGACAAGAGAGTTCAAAACAACAAGTAATAAAACCATGTTGAAAAACCTGGATTAAGCCTGGCCGGTGTGGCTCAGTGGACTGAGTGTCCTCCTGTGGACTGAGAGGTAGGTCCTGATTTGATTCCCAGTCAGGGCACATGCCCGGATTGTGGGCTCAATCCCCAGTAGGGGGAATGCAGGGGGCTGCCGATGGATGTATCTCTCTCTCTTCCTCTCTCTCTAAAAAATCAATAAAAACACTAAGAAAGAAAAATATGGATTAAAGTAGAGCCTGTCACTGTAGTTTTGGGTTTCTTAGTCCTGCTATTACGTTTTTAGTACTCTGTATATTTGCACAAATGATTCTACCGTCACTGACACTAAAAATAAATGTCCATTTATATTCTCTTTCAGATTTACCAAAAATTTATCTCCTGACAAGATAAATCTAAGTACTCTTAAAGGAGAAGGTGAACTGAAGAATTTGGAGTTGGATGAAGAGGTGCTCCAGAATATGTTGGACTTGCCAACATGGCTTGCTATCAACAAAGTTTTTTGTAATAAAGCATCTATTAGGGTGAGATTTTGATATCTGTGAAAAGCATTTTCTGTTTTTATTTTTTAATTTCATTCATGTCTTTTAAAATAAACATTTTATTGTGAATAAGTTTAAAAGGACAAATATCTTTGTCTAAATAATTGCATGAACGTGTGCCTTAATGAATTTAGTTGTATACTAATACATTAATTATTAATTTATAGATTTTAATTTTTATTTAGAATTTAATGTTATTACCATTTAAATAAAATTATTGATAGTTTATTAATAACACAAAGTTTTTAATAAGATTTGTTGTCAAATGTGACAATTTAAATTTGTGATAAGTAAATAAATACCTTATTTTACTTTAGTTTTTATTTATTTTTATCCTTACCCGAGGAAATTTTTCCATTTTTTGTTCGATAGAGTGGGAGGAAGAGAGAGAGAGAAACGTTGATGTGAAAGGGACACATTGAGTGGTTGCCACCCACACGACCCAATCAGGGCCAGGGACAAACTGCAACCAAAGTACGTGCCCTTAGCGGGAATTGAACCCGGGTTTCTCTGGACCGCAGGCCGATGCTCTAACCACCGAGCCAAAGCGGCCAGGGCAAATACCTTATTTTAAATGAAGATATGAAGACTAATAACTTCTCTTAATCTGTATATTATACTTTTATTTAAAGTTTTATCCTTTTTTTCTCATTTGTCACTTTGAGGATTTTAAAGTTTTCTTTTATTATCGTTATTACTACTTATTAAAACTTATTTCTACTTGCCTTGACACTAAGGTCATATCACTCCTTGCTCTTAAAAGACTAGGTTTAGTTTGAAAGTATGCTTAGTAGAAATAGTGAATGCTCATTTGTTTCATAAAATTAAAATTGAGCCCTGGCCAGTTTGGCTCAGCGGTTAGAGCATCGGCCCATGGTTCAGAGAGACCTGGGTTCGGTTCCCACTAAGGGCACGTACCTCGGTTGCTGTTTGTCCCCTGCCCTGGTTAGGGTCGTGTGGGTAGCGGCCAGTTGATGTGTCTTTCTTGCATCGATGTTTCTCTCTCTCTCTTCCTCCCTTTTTTCCCCTCACTCTATCTGAAGATGAATACAAAAATGCCCTCAGGTAAGGACAAAAAAAAAAAATTAAAATTGAGTGCGAGCCGTGACTGGTTTGGCTCAGTGGTTAGAGTGTCGGCCTGTAGACCAAAGGTCTTGTGTTTGATTCCAGTCAAGGGACGTGCCTTGGTTGCAGTTCAATCCCTGACCCTGGTTAGGGTTGTGCGGGAGGCGACCAATCGATGTGTCTCTCTCACATTAATGTCTCTCTCTCTCTCTCTTTCTCTCTCTATCCCACCTCCCCACTCTATCTGAAAAATCAATGGAAAAATATCCTCAGGTGAGGTTTTAAATAATAAATAAATAAAATAAAATAAAATTGAGTGCCAAAGAGAAGATTGTAGAAAAAAAAGATTCTTTCCTTTAATTTTATTTTTCTATTTTCCATAAACCTAAATATCTCCAAAGACATGCCATTTTAATGCAGGTTATGTTTGAATACTATTTATTTATTTATTTTTATTTTATTATTTTTTTAATCTTTATTGTTGAATGTATTACAGATGTTCCTCGTTTTTCCCCCATTGACCCCCTCCTCCCCACTCCCACCCCCCTCCTGCCTTTTCCCACACTGTTGTCTGTGTCCATTGGTTATGCATATATGCATATAAATAAGTTCTTTGGTTTATTTCTTCTCACCCCCCAACCCCCTTCTCTTTGAGGTTTGCCAGTCTAGCAACCAATTTGTACTTCTTAATCCCTTCACCTTTTTCACCCATTCCCCCAACCCCCTTCCCATCTGGCAACCAACAAAATGTTCTCTGTATCTATGAGAATGTTTCTGTTCTGCCTGTTCATTTTGTTTGTAGATTCCATTGTCAATAGATATGTATTCATTGCCATTTTGTTTGTTCATATATTTTACCTTTTTCTTCAAGAAGACCCTTTAACATTTCATATAATAACGGTTTGGTGGTGATGAACTCCTTTAACTTTTTCTTGTCTGGGAAACTCTTTCTATGGCCATCGTTTCTAAATGACAGCTTTGCAGGATAGAGTAATCTTGGTTGTAGGTTTTTGCTTTTCATCACTCTGAATATTTCTTGCCACTCCCTTCTGGCCTGCAAAGTTTCTTTTGAGAGATCAGCTGACAGCCTAATGGGAACTCCCTTGTAGGTAACTAGCTGCCTTTCTTTTGCTGCTTTTAAGATTCTGTCTTGAACCTTTTGCATTTTGATGATGATGTGTCTTGGTGTGGGCCTCTTGGGGTTCATCTTGTTTGGGACTCTCTGTGCTTCCTGGACTTGTATGTCTATTTCCTTCATCAAGTTAGGGAAGTCTTCTGTCATTATTGTTTCAAACAGGTTTTCGATTTCTTGTTCTGTCTCTTCTTCTGGACACTCCCAAGACGTGAATGTTGGCACACTTGAAGTTGTCCCAGAGGCTCCTTACACTATCCTCATTTTTTTGGATTCTTTTTTTTTTTTTTTTTCTTTTTGCTGTTCTGATTGGGCGTTTTTTGCTTCCTTATTTTAAAAATCGATGTTTTGCAAAAATATGGAACGTTTCACGAATTTGCGTGTCATCCTTGTGCAGGGGCCATGCTAATCTCTGTATTGTTCCAATTTTAGTATATGTGCTGTTGAAGCGAGCACTGAATACTATTTATTTGGTATTGCCTACATTTTATAGCAATGGCCTCACTTTTGTATTTGTCTTGACTATCTATGAAAAGATAGGTCAGAATTCTAGAATATAAAAAATTGTTACATGAACAGAACACTGGTTATGTTTTGCTGGGAAGTCTTAGGTAAATTATGAAATTAAAATGTGTTTTAAGGGCTGGGAAAAGATATTTAAGGCAACCTGAAAATTTTATTTAAAAAGATTAGTACGAAAATATGACTAGTCTTTTTTTAAATTTTGTTCCCTTTATTGATTTTTTTAGAGAAAGAAGAAGTGAGAGGGAGAGAGAGAGATAGAAACATCGATGAGAGAGAACATCAGTTGGCCGCCTTCTGCATGTCCCCCACTGGGGATTGAGCCTACAACCTGGGCATGTGTCCTGACCGGGAATCGAATCGGTGACCTCTTACTTCATGGGTCAACGCTCAGCCACTGAGCCACACCGGCCAGACGACCAGTCTTTTATTTAATATAGACACATCTAGTTTTAAGATTATGAATGGTTCATTTTATTATTTTGCAATATAAAAAAAAAGTCATCTGTTTTTACATCTTTTAATGATTATTTTAAAGAAAAAAAACTTTTACTTTTTCAGATCCCATGGACAAAACTGAAGACACATCCTATCTGTTTGGTGAGTTCTGAATTGTGTCAGAAATAAACATTTATATAAGCCTATGATCTAACTACTCTTTTAATGCTCGTGTATTTTGGGATTAGAAATTGCACTTCTATAAAATCTGATGATCTTTGCAGTATATGGCTCTTCTTATGGTTTTTCTCTCATACTTCTATAAAACTCAACTTTTCCACTAGATAGTAAGTTCCTTGAGAAAGGACTGAGTGCATTTTCTGCTTTGATATTTGTCCTTTTAGTTTTAAATATTTTTATAATATACATAAAATAAAGTATCTAATCACTTACATTTTTAATGTGTTTTTATAAGTCCCTAGATAAAGTAATAATGGAAATGAGTACATGTGAAGAACCACGAAATCCTAATGGTTAAATATTTTTATAATATACATAAAATAAAGTATCTAATCACTTACATTTTTAATGTGTTTTTATAAGTCCCTAGATAAAGTAATAATGGAAATGAGTACATGTGAAGAACCACGAAATCCTAATGGCCCATCACCAATTGCAACTGCTTCAGGACAAAGGTAAGTTATCTCCAGTATTAATCTGTATGACTAGCAAAAGGAATTATTTTTCATAGTCATCTCTATTTTTTTTCTCATTGATTTGTTGTTTCAGTTATTTATGGATTCATTAGTTGATTCTTTATTTTTTTCTTTTAACTTTATTTTTACCTATAGTCATCTGTATTATCTGTAGTAATGGAACATAAGATAAAATCCACTGACCTCAAACAGGCTCTATTTCAGTCACCTCGCCCATCAAACATTGTAGTTTTAGTATATACTTACGAAAGTAGCAGAATTGATTGTAGCCATTTTATTCATCTTGCTTTTCTTGATATTTAAATAAGGATCAGCCAAAGGCAGAGCAGTAGCAGAAAATGAAAGCAGAAGAGTGTAGGCATTCTGTAAATCAGATGCATATCATTTATTTTATGCATCATTGTACTTTTATGACTCTAAAGAGTTAAACTGATGCCTAAAAAAATTATAGACCTTTTGGATTACTCTAAAATTTATTAAAGAATGTTCTCAAATCGAATTTCGATAGATAAAATCAGATGCTAATAAAGTAGAAACATGAGGCCCATTTCACAAAGCCTTTTTGAAAAATTAGAATAGTTCTTGAAAAATAGATCTTTTCAAAAATGCCTATTTGTTTTTGCAATCATTGTTGTTGAATCTTGTACTATACATCATTTCCTCACGGCAGGATTTCAGCACTATTTTGGATTGTGCAGCTATTCGTGTAAAATGTTCACATAGATTTTAATGTGCTTGGTGCCTCCTCAAGTTGTACAACTTGGCAGCCATGAACATTTATAGTCTTCTAGGTGCAAAGTAAAACCAGTGATAAAACTCTTCTTGAGAATGAACATGCACACACTTACACTGTCCTCTTTCATCAACATTGAACCACCTTTACAGTAGTGCGGTCTATCAGATGTATGATTTATATTTACACTACAGGTAATAGTGACTGGGAAAAGAGCTTTCACATTAACTTCTTTGTAATTTGTGTATTGTCCAGCAATTTGAAATTTTAAAGTATAAAATGTGTTTTCAGTTTAGTAGAGTAGATTGGAGCAGTTGATCTTTAAAATGGCTAGAGTTGCCCTGGCCGGTTTGGCTCAGCGGTTAGAGCGTCCGCCTGTGGTCCGGAGAGACCCGGGTTCGGTTCCTGCTAAGGGCATGTACCTCGGTTGCAGTTTGTCCCCGGCCCTGGTTGGTTGTGCGGGTGGCAGCCACTCGATGTGTCCCTTTCACATCGATGTTTCCCTCTCTCTCTCTTCCTCTCTCTCCCTCCCACTCTGTCTGTACAAAAGATGGAAAAATGTCCTCGAATGAGGATAAAAAATAAATAAAATAAATAAATAAATAAAATGGCTAGAGTTGATCTGGCCAGTTTGGCTAATCAGTTAGAGCATCAGCCTGTACACCAAACAGTTGAGAGTTCAGTTTGATTCCTTGGTTTCAGGTTTGATCCCTGGCCCCAGTTGCGGTCGTGTGGGAGGCAACCAATTGATATGTCTCTTTCACACAGATGTTTCTCTCTCTCTTCTCTCCTTCCCCCCTCTCCTACTCTATCTGAAAAAATATCAATGGAAAAATATTCTCGTGTGAGGATTACAAATAAAACATAAATAAATTGGCTAGAGTCAGAAATATCAGAAAGTAACGATGTTTATAAGATTATTGAAAGAGGAAAAGATCAGGAAAATTGCATTAATGAAAGATTTGTTTTAATTAGGTGTGGCAGAAATTAGGTATTTTGTCAGTGTGCTAAGTGTCGTTGATAGTGTTCTTCCTAATTCACGTTTTTATTTTTATTTTAATTTTTTTTTCTTGCATGGCCGGTGTGGCTCAGTGGTTGAGCAACAACCCATGCACCAAGTGGTCACTGGTTGATTCCTGGTTAGGGCACATGCCCGGGTTGTGGGCCCAACTCCAGTGGGGAACATGCAGGAGGCAGCCAAACAATGTTTCTATCTCTCTCTCCCTCTCCCTTCCTCTCTCTTTCAAAATCAATAAAGAAAAAAATTGTTTTTTTTTAATTGAATTTTTAAAGAGAGAGGAAGGGGAGGGAGAGAGGCATACAAACATTGATGAGAGAGAACATCGATTGACCGCCTCCTGTATTCCACCCACTGAGGATTGGACCTACAATCTGGGCATGTGCCCTGATTGGGAATCCATCTGGCGACCTCTTGATGTATGGGTCGATGCTCTCAACCACTGAGCCACACCGGCCGGGCCTAGTTCACATTTTTATGGTATCAATATGCTTTATAAGTTGGCTTTGTAATCGTATGATGACAATCCTTATATTTTGATGTGTGGCATTATGGTTCATCTATTTTCACATTTTCCAGACTCCTGATTGTAACAATCACTTGGCGTGTTTACTAAGCCTACAGTCTTTTAGGCTCCTTCTTTTGAAATTATGACTCATTAGATCTATAATGGTTGTTAAGAATTGGAATATATATACATATATATCTATATATATATTTTTAATCCTCACCCAGTGATATTTTTCTATTTATGTTCAGATAGAGTGGGAAGGAGAGAGAGGGAGAGAAAGGGGAAGAGAGAGAAACATCGACGTGAGAGACACACATTGACTGATTGCTTCCCACACGACCCGGACTAGGGTTGGCGACGAACCGAGGTACATGTTGTTGGCTGGAATCGAACCTGAGACTCATTGGTCCAGGGGCCCATGCTCTACTGCTGAGCCAAACCGGCCAGGGCTAGGAATACGTATTTCTAACAATTCTTTATAGTCATGCAACTTAGCAAACCTCTGATCTATTTGATTTTGTTTCTAGCTAAGAGATTAAAATAGAGGGAAACTAGTAATTAATAGGCTTAGAAGAAATTTACTTGTAAACTGGAATTTTACCTTTCAAATTTATAATGGATGACTTAATCATAAACATGTAGACTTAGTCATTGATACAGGCATCACCCTTCTGATTTTATTTTATTAATTTTTATTTTATTAATTTTTATTTTATTATTATTTTTTATCCTCACCCGAGGACATTTTTTTCCCCATTTTTTGTTCAGATAGAGTGGGAGGTAGAGAGAGGAAGACAGAGAGAGAGAGAGAGAAACATCGACGTGAAAGGGATACATCGAGTGGCTGCCACCCGCATGACCCAAGCAGGGCTGGGGACAAACTGCAACCGAGGTACGTGCCCTTAGCGGGAATTGAACCTGGGTCTTTTTGGACCTCAGGCTGATGCTCCAACCGCTGAGCCAAACCGGCCAGGGCTACCATTCTGATTTTAAATCCTCCAATATAATCAACACTTTTTTTTTTTTTTTTAAATCCTCACCCCAGGATATTTTCTCCATTGAATTTCAGAAAGTGTGAAAGGGAGGGAGAGAGACAGAGAGATTGAGAGAGAGATGTGAGAGACACACATTCGTTGGTTGCCTCCCCATGCACCCTGACCAGGGTGGGAGATCAAACCTGCAACCCAGGTATATGCCCTTGATCAGGAATCGAACCTGGGACCCTTTGGTCTGCAGGCTGACTCTCTGTGCTGGCCAGGCCACAATCATAACACTTTAAAAAAAATCTTTAGCCCTGGCCGGTTTGGCTCAGTGATTAGAGCATCGGCCTGCGGACCAGAGAGACCTGAGTACGATTCCCACTAAGGGCACGTACCTCAGTTGCACTTTGTCCCCAGCCCCGGTTGGGGTCGTGTAGGTGGCAACCACTTGATGTGTCTCTCACATTGATGTTTCTCTCTCTCTCTGTCTTCCTCCCTCTCTCCCTCCCAGTCTATCTGAAGATGAATGCCAAAAAAAAAAAAAAAAAAGTCCTTGGGTGAGGATACAAAAAAAAGAAAAAAATCTTTAATTAATGATTTTAGAGAGAGTGAGGATAGGGTGAGAAAAAGAGAAAGATAGAGAGAAACACTGATTTGTTGTACCTCTTATTTATGCATTCTTTGGTTGATTCTTGTATGTGCCCTGGTCTGGAATAGAACCTGCAACATTGGTGTATTGGGACAGTGCTCTAACCAGCTGAGCTACCTGGCCAGGGTAACTCACTTTTTAATGTGTATATGTAAGAACAGATGGGGTTGGATATTCTAAACAGTATTCCCAGGTAATCATTATAGAAATATTCTTTCCAACTCCGGGAATATTTTTACCTAAGTGACCGATATTTGTTCTTAGGATCAAAGCAGCTCCTCCCTAGGATGCTGACGAGTTCTTACTCTTTGGTTCTCCATTTTCTAAATCTAAGGTAGATTACCAACCCTTTATGTCACAAAATTACCTCAGGCAAGCCAAAGGCTATATAAATTGCTGCATATAGTCTGTTTCACTTGTGGAACCACAGGAACCTTTTGAAATAGGTATTATTTTCATTTTGCAAATGAGGAAACTGAGCCTCAGAGACTTTCAGTAGTATTAATAATAATTTACCACTATAATAGTTATGTTTTATGAAGTATTAGTCGAGAGATGGACAATTTGGTTCATATGCATTTTTTTATACAACCCACAGAAAACCCACAAAGTATTACCTGATTTATTTTTTGTTTGTTTGTTTTTTATCCTCACCCGAGGATATTTTTCCATTTTTTTGTACAGATAGAGAGGGAGGGAGAGAGAGGAAGGGAGAGAGAGAGAGAGAAACATCGACGTGAAGGGACACATCGAGTGGCTGCCACCCGCACGACCAACCAGGGCCGGGGACAAACTGCAACCGAAGTACGTGCCCTTAGCGGGAACCGAACCCGGGTCTCTCCGGACCGCAGGCCGATGCTCTAACCGCTGAGCCAAACCGGCCAGGGCAAGTATTACCTGATTTAAAAGATAAGTCACATAAGGCTTAGAAAGGTTAAGTTGATTTACATATTCATTGAGGTTGTAAATAAAAAGCATAGCAGCAGGTATAGTGGAGGCACATAAATGATACATAAAGATGGCGGGTTCACTTTTATACATGTTGGCTTTGAAATATCTGAGAGCAAGCCCAGTGGAGCTATGTGGTGGACATTTGAATTTTATACTCTGACATTTCAGTGAGAAATTTGGATGGAGACATAGATTTAGGAATAATGGTCATATTGGTGATAATTGAAGTAATGTGCCAGTTGGGTAAACTTTTACCATCTCTCCTGCCAAAATATATTGATACTGTATATTCTAATTATACTATACTACTCATTCTCAGAACATAACCTCAGCTGTCCTGCTTATCTGTGCCTTTACTCATGCTTTTTCCTATTCCAAGGTTTCCCTTCCTTCTCTTCTCCCCGTGGAAAAGTCATCTATTTTCCCTGGATATATTTCTCCCTAGCTATAAACAGTTTTTTCCTCAACCAAGTGTATTGATTATTCCTTTTTAAAAACATGTAATTATAGATTACGTCTTGTTTTATTTACTAGGGTGTTTTTTTCTTCCCTGAGTAATTTGCGAGCCCTATAATGCCATAAATATTTTGGTTTCTCTTAATGTCCCACGTTGTTCACAATGTAGCTGTTCAATAAATATTTGCTGAATTGAATTAGAAAATGTGAACTTTTTCTAAACTTATTCCTAAATTATGAGATTATGTTCCACTGGACTCTGTATCCTTCTTTGTGTCAAGAATTTAGCTCTCTTATTTATGTTGTAGATGCCAGTGTCTGGACTGATGCTTTTTGAGATACTGATTTTAATTTAATTTAGGGAATAATCTCCAGTTTTAAAAATCTTTTATCATTTTGAGAAGAGCATTTTTATAACTTACATGTAACCAGGTTAGACTTGTTTTAACAAAAATTAGTTTTTTTAAACCAAAATAAAGAATATTATGGTAGTTTGTGTACTTGTTTGAGAATATTAACAGATAACTTTTTTTCTTTTAATGATTGTTTTGGCTTTAGCACATTTATATTTTGTTTTGCTTTACTTTTTCAGTGAATACAGCTTTGCTGAAAAAGTAGTTGAGGGAATTACTGTTTCTGTAAATTCCATTGTCATCCGCATTGGAGCAAAAGCCTTCAATGCATCCTTTGAACTTTCCCAGCTACGGATCTATAGCGTGAATGCAAACTGGGAGCATGGAGATTTAAGATTTACTCGTATTCAGGATCCACAGAGAGGAGAGGTAAAACTTTTTTTCTTCGTTTACAAATTATTTAATCACTGATAAATAAAAGAGTATGTTTAAAATAATACTTCTTATGGTTACATAGATTCACATACTACTAGATTTGCCTTTTAAACATACTTTTCTGTTTTTATCTTAATCACTATTAAGTGTACATGTTTCAATATTTTTATTATAATAAATCTTTCAACTCAGAGTTAATCCTATTTTAACTTTACAGATACTTAGAATTGAATTTAACATTTACAAAATTAAAATATGTCGTTTAAATTTTTGGTCACATGAGTCCTGGCCGGTTTGGCTCAGCAGTTGAAGCGTCGGCCTGCAGACCAGAGAGTCCTAGGTTCGGTTTCCTCTAGAGGCATGTACCAAAAAAAATAAATAAATTCTTGGTCACATGATTCAAAGCTCTTTGTACTTTATACTAAAATTAAATTACTTAGAATACAAGTATTAACAGCTTTACAGATGATGAATATAATTATGAGGATGTGTTACTGAATTTGCTGGAAGTATACAATTTCAAAAAATATAAGCATAGTGACTATAGCTATAATGTCATATGAAAATTGGCGAAGAGGTACATTTCTATTTCTTTTTATTTTTAAATTTACATTTTCCACATTCTGTGTTGCATGAGTAAGTGAAGTCAATCTCTGTGTTCTCTTTAGGTTTTGACATTTAAAGAAATAAACTGGCAGATGATTCGAATAGAGGCAGATGCTACCCAAAGTTCACATCTTGAAATTATGTGTGCTCCTGTTCGATTAATAACCAACCAATCAAAAATCAGAGTCACACTTAAAAGAAGAGTAAGTTAACAGGGTTTTCTTTGTGATTCATGTGATAACTATTGGAATTGACAGGAAATTTAAAATAATTTTTAGGCATATTAAAACAGTACATAATAAAAGAAAATTTAGTGTCTAAAGCAATACTTGAAGAAACCTACTATAATAACATTTTTCAGTCCTCTAGATTTAATACTTAGATTTTTATTTTTTATGATTGAATAGATTTCTCAGTTGCCAGATAACTATTGAACATTAACAATTTTATCATTTTATTTCTCCTGTTGAATCACTCAGGAGTGACTAAACAGTAACCAAAACTACTTGCTTTAGAAAGTTACTAAGATATGACTGGTAATAAAGATAAATAAGGAAAAGGTACTTAAGGATGTCAGAAGTTGAGAGTCCACTATAGATTATGATGAGATTTAATGACAGGTTAATGACTTATTTAACCATGGCTTAAAGTCTCAGCAACATGTCTTTTTTTTTTTTTTTCTTTATTGATTTTTAGAGAGAGGAAGGGAGAGGAAGAGAGAGAGAGAAACATTGATGAGAGAGAACATCGATTGGCTGACTCCTGCATGCCTCCCACTCGGGATCAGGCCCACAACCTGGGCATGTGCCCTGACCGGGAATTGAACCAGCGACCTCTTGATGCATGGGTCGACGCTCAGCCACTGAGCCACACCCGCCGGGCACAACAACATGTTTTGTATCACTAGATAAAAATGACTAAAATTAAATTGAAAAAAAATTTTTTTAGAATATGTGGTTAAAACAGCATTTTAGTTTTTAATTAATTTTAATGCCCTTTTTTCTACTAGAATTAGTTGAATTAACATTGGTAATTATTTATTAGCTATAAATGCAAAATTAAATTATATAAGTATTTATGCCTATATAATTTTACCTCTTTAGGTACAGGAATTTGTCAGTCTTTTTTACCACTGTATTGCCAATACTAAGAAATATTGTTTCCATACTTTTGGAACTCATTAAATATTTGGTGAATGAAGGATTCATGTTTAATTCCATTCAGAAATTTAAAATAAAAATACATTATAAGTTTTATTTCTTGGATTAATTTTATAAATCAAATTTTTTACAGTTAAAGGACTGCAATGTCATTGCAACAAAATTAGTTCTAATATTGGATGACTTATTATGGGTTTTAACGGATTCTCAGTTGAAGGCTATGGTACAATATGCAAAATCTCTTAGTGAAGCAATAGAGAAATCAACAGAACAAATGAAGAGTATGGCTTCTGAACCTACACAGGTATGCTATTAAGTTAACAGGAAAAGAAAATCTTACTTTACATGTAAATGGTTTAAAAATCATAATGGTTAGTTTTTTTCTTTATGTGAAATAGATTGTAATACTGAGTCCAAGAATCTTCTTATATATCTTACTATATAATTTATATACTTGATATCTATATGAAAACAAATTGTATTTTTATATAGTGCTTATTGTGTTTGGAGGCCTGTGTTAATGATCACATTTTATATATATATTATATATATTTATATATATATATATATAAATTTTTTTTTTTTTTTTTTTTATCCTCACCCGAAGACATTTTTGCATTTATCTTCAGATAGAGCAGGAGGGAGAGAAGGGGGAAGAGAGAGAGAGAAACATCGATGTGAGAGAGACACATCGACTGGTTGCCACCCACACAACCCCAACTGGGGCCGGGGACAAACTGCAACTGAGGTATATGCCCTTAGCGGGAACTGAACCCGGAACACTCTGGTCCGCAGACCAACGCTCTAACTGCTGAGCCAAACCGGCCAGGCATCACATAAAAATATTTTTATTTTAGAGAGAGAGGAAGGGAGCAAGAGAGAGAGAGACATCAATCGGTTGCCTCCCATGCATACCTCGGCTGGAGATCGAATCCACAACCTTTTGGTGTATGGGATATGGCTCCAACCAACTGGCAAGTTTTTGATATTTTTTAATGAAAATTTGGTCTTTATTTCATTTCGCGTACAGTTCTAAGGCTAATACCGTATCATATCATCAGAATTATTTTAGGCTATACACATACGTCCATACACTGGTAATATTCTTTGCTTTTTCTCTTTGGGGAGAAAGGAATTTGTACTTAGAGTCTTTTTTATGTCTCTTCTGGTTTCTAGCTTCTTTAGATATCCAGGTTCAAAGGACATAACACACCTTATAAGAGGCACAAGAGCACTTACAGTATTATATAATATCACAAGTGTGTTTACAAAGTAATTAATTTCTACAGGATATATAATAGTGTGTCTTTATTTCATTTCACGTACAGTTCTAAGGCTAATACCATATCATATCATCAGAATTATTTTAGGCTATACACATGCGTCCATACACTGGTAATATTCTTTGCTTTTTCTCTTTGGGGAGAAAGGAATTTGTACTTAGAGTCTTTTTTATGTCTCTTCTGCTTTCTAGCTTCTTTAGATATCCAGGTTCAAAGGACATAACACACCTTATAAGAGGCACAAGAGCACTTACAGTATTATATAATATCACAAGTGTGTTTACAAAGTAATTAATTTCTACAGGATATATAATAGTGTATACAGCTGATGTATACAGGGCTCACATTTGTTTTCTCTTTGATATATAGAACTAATAATATTCCAGTAAACTGCCTTTAATAGTTAACAAGTATGTTTTCTAAGATAAGAAGGGCTATAAATATGTAAATATAACTATTCAAATATTTACCAAAACATATTAAGTTCATATTCAGATTGTGTATACTTTTCCAGTTTTTGAATTTTAGTTTTATTCCTATAAAATTCAGAAAATATTTTAGGGAAACTTGAGTTATTGATACAAAAGGAAATGCATTAGGTCATTTTCCATTACTTTATTCCTAAGAATATGTAAGTTTTCTTGTTTTGGGAATTTCAACTGTTTAACCTGCGTGCTAAGGCAGCTCTGAAACTTTTAGAGCTCTACAGTAGCCCCATCTACGCAGCCAGTGAGGACACCACAGACTTCAAGTGCTCCTGATCTACACGGTGCAATTGTGAAACTATTCAATGACTTTGATGTCAAAGAAACCTCCCATCATTTAGTGATTTCTCATCTAGATCTACACATATGTGATGATATTCATGCTAAAGAAAAAGGTAATTAAAGCTGCTTATTTTAAACTATTTTGGTTTTTCTAGAATTCACTATAAAACTGGATTGTTTATCAAGTGTAATATATAGTTTAAACTATAAGGTAACTGGTCATAATTTTATCATTCATAAGAGCTACATGCATGAGAGCTATAATGTTAAACATAGATTGCAGTACATTGAGTTCTATAGAGATAGCACCGGGGCAAGTGCGAGCCAGATGGGCACTTAGCAGCTCTGTGCTTGCTGAGGAAAAGTAATTAAATATGGGCAAAGAGATCCCAAGAAGCTGAGAGGCAAAAAAAAAAAAAAATGTCATCATTTGTTTGTGCAAACTTGCTAGGAGGAGCACAAGAAGAATCACCCAGAAGCCTCATTCAACTTCTCAGAATTTTCTAAGAAGTCTTCAGGGAGGTAGAAGACATTGTCTGCTAAAGAGAAAGGAAAATTTGAAGACATGACAAAGGTGGATAAGGCCCGTTAATGAAAGAGAAATGAAAACTTATATTTCTCCTAAAGGGGAAACAAAAAGAAGTTTAAGGATCCCAGTGCACCCAAGCGGCCTCCTTTGGCCTTCTTCTTGTTTTGTTCTCAGTATCGCCCTAAAATCAAAGAAGGTGTGCATCCCAGCCTATTGATTGGTGATGTTGCAAAGAAGCAGGGAGATGTGTAGAATAACACTGCTGCAGATGACAAGCAGCCTTACGATGATGATGAATAAGTTGGGGCAGTGTAGGTTTCTTTCTTGTCTGTGAAGTCTTTATAGTATTTAACCCCCCTGTGCACAACTCACTCCTTTTAAAGAAAAAAAAATTGAAATGTAAGACTGATTTGTTTTTAAACTGTATGTTGTCATTTTTGGTATAGTTAACACATTACCGAATGTGTCTTTAGGAATCCCTGTCCTGGTGGACTTTCAGCAGCCACTAACCTTGCCTGGTATAGTATGGGTGTGGTAGATTGGCATGGACTTTTAAAGCAGGTTCTTGTTGGTGCACAGCTCATTAGTTATATATGGGAATGGTTTTTTTTTTTTTTATTCCTCACCCGAGGATACTTTTCTGTTTATCATCAGCTAGAGTGGGAGGAAGGGAGAGAGAGAGAGAAAGACAGAGAGAAACATTGATGTGATAGAGCCACATTGACTGGTTGCCTCCTGCATGACCAGACCAGGGCCAGGGATGAAACTGCAACCAAGGCACATGCCCTTGACCGGAACTAAACTCGCGACTCATTGTTCTGCGGACTGACATTCTAACCACTGAGCCAAATCATCCAGGACGGGGATGGTATTATTTTCATCTTCAGTTGTCTCTGATGCAACTTATACAAAATAATTGTTGTTCTGTTAACTGAATGACACTCTGTAATTGCAAAAAAAACAAAGTTGCAGCTGTTTTGTTGACATTCTGAATGCTTCTAAGTAAATACAATTTTTAAAAAATGAATAAACATATATTGGTATGAAATTTTATTTTGCTTTAGTAGTTAGTACTTCAGCACAGTTCCTTGTTAGCTATCAGTGCTAATAAAATTAGGTTTAAATAAAATCAAAGGCCTAGCTGGTGTGGCTCAGTGGTTGAGTGCCGACCCATGCACTAAGAGGTCACCGGTTCGATTCCTGGTTAGGGTACATGCACAGGTTGTGGGCGAAATCCCCAGTGGGGTCATGCAGGAGGTGGCCAGTTGATGTTCTCTCTCATCGATGTTTCTGTCTCTGTTCCCCCTCCCTTCCTCTCTCTCTAAAAATCAATAAAGTAAAAAATATATAAATAAATAAGTAAATAAAATCAAAGACTGAGTAGATGACATCCTCGAAGGATGATGAAATAGTAGACCTGCCTTAGAATGAACATTTTTATAATTTTGAAACTGTCCATAAATTAAATTATTGTCCATAATCAATGTATACTTTTCACCTGTGTTGTCAGCATGGTGGTTTATATTTTTCTGACCCCATGTGCATGTAAACACAATTGTGTGGCTGTATTTTGTGTTTTTTTGTTTTTTTTTTTTCAGATAGAGCAGGAGGGAGAGAGGGAGGAAGAGAGAGTGAGAAACAGCAATGTGAGAGAGACACATTGAGTGATTGTCACCCACACGACCCTAACCAGGGCCTAGAACAAACTGCAACCGAGGTACGTGCCCTTAGTGGGAACCAAACCTGGGATTCTCCAGTCCATGGGCCAACACTCTAACTGCTGAGCCAAACCGGCCAGGGCATGTAGCTGTTTAACAATTTTTGTGTCTCCTTCTCCCTACTCCAAAACTTGGTTAAGAAGCTAAATTTCACTTAAGAAGTTTTGTTTTTTCCCCTTTCCTTTCAGCTTTTGTTTCTTTTTTATTTTATTTTATTTTTTTCTTATTTAGTAGACAAAAGTAATGGGGTAGCAGGAAGCTAGTAGTCACTTTGAAATTTGTGGTTCCCTAATCTAGATTCTGGGGCATTTTTCTTTCAGAGAGTATCCCTGGCCCATAAGGGTTCAGCAGGTAGGCCTATCTCTAGGACAATGGTTCTCAAACTTTGGTGAGCATGAGAATCAAGCTGAGGATTTTTTGCAAATGGAGATTGTCTGACCTGTGTTCCTCAGACCTGAATCAGAATGATAGCTATGATCATTGCTGCTCTGGATTTTTAAAGCTGAGAGAGTGAATATTGAGACTGATCCTGGATACTTAGCATTAGAAATCATCTTGCCTTCATCATATATGATCAAAAGGTAGAGCATAGAAGTGAGGAAGATTTGGAATTTGGAGGTTTGTTCTTTGTCCACCTTTGTGTCATTTGGCATAGTTGGTATCTTCTGCTTTAGTTCTTTGGAAGGAAAATCCAAAAAGTTAAAACTAAAATAACAAAAAGAGGAATCAAGGTTAAATAATAAGCAAGAGAACAGAGAAAAGTGTTTTCTAAACTCTTTTGCATTTCTTATTTTATATATTTCCCAGAGAATAAGCTGAATGATGTTATTTAAGGGAAAACTCCTCCAACAAAATATCTCCATCATTGTATAGATCTGTACTTAGTTCTCTGCTATTCTAAAATGCAGAAAGTTTTGAAATGCTTCTTCTTAGGTTTGTGAAAAAACTCTTGTAAAAACTTGACCTAAATGAACACATTGCTTTTTTTTTTTTGGTATGTGCCCCTAGCAGGAACCAAACCCAGGACTCTCTGGTCCACAGGCTGACGCTCCGACCGCTGAGTCAAACCGGCCAGGGCAACACATTGCTATTTATCATCTTTATTTTATCCACTTAGTGTATATATTTGAGTTTTGCTGCAGAATTACTATTTTTTTATTACTTAGTGCTGCCTCAGAATCTGCTGAGCGTGCTATATGATATGCCTTGTGTGTATATACCGTATTACTTTCATAAAATATAAAAAAATCCTGAATTCTGAAACATTTGACAGTTTTAAATTAGTGATTGTAGATCTGTACTAGAAATTCTGTTAGTTGAGATAAATTGGAGTTCTTAAATGAATATAGAGAGTGTGTACATAACTTTGTCTTAATTTGTGTTGACTTGTCCAATTTTTTTTTTAATTAAAAATTTTTTAAACTTTATTGTTGAATGTATTACACATGTTTTCCATTTCTCACCCTTGGCCCCCTCCTCCTCAATCCTGCCCCCCTTCTGCTTTTCCCACACTATTGTCTGTCTGTTGCTTATGTATATATGCATATACGTTCTTTAGTTTCTCTCTTCCCACCCCACCTCCCCCCTTTGCTTTGAGGTTCATCAGACTAACAACCAATATGTACTTCCTAATCCCTTCATCTTTTTCACCCACCTTCCTCCCATTTGGCAACCAACAAGAAGTTCTCTGTATCTATGAGTCTGTTTCTGTTCTGTTTGCTCATTTTGTTTGTAGATTCAATTGTTTAATACATATAGATATGTATTTATTGCCATTTTGTTTGTTCATATTTTTATTTTTGTCTTCAAGAAGACCCTTCAACATATCATATAATACTGGTTTGGTGTTGATGAACTCTTTTAGCTTTTTCTTGTCTGGGAAACTATATGGCCATCGATTCTAAATGACAGCTTTGCAGGATAGAGTAATCTTGGTTGTAGGTTCTTGGTTTTCATCACTCTGAATATTTCTTGCCACTCCCTTCTGGCCTGCAAAGTTTCTTTTCAGAAATCAGCTGACAGTCTTATGGGAACTCCCTTGTAGGTAACTAACTGCATTTCTCTTGCTGCTTTTAAGGTTCTCTCTTTGTCTTGAACCTTTGACAGTTTGATGATGATGTGTCTTAGTGTGGGCCTCTTGGGGTTCATCTTGTTTGGGACTCTCTGTGCTTCCTGGACTTGTATGTCTATTTCCTTCACCAAGTTAGAGACGTTTTCTGTCATTATTGCTTTGAATAGGTTTTCAAATTCTTTCCCTCTCCTTCTCCCTCTGGCACTCCCACAATGCAAATATTGGTATTCTTGAAGTTGTCCCACAAACTCCTTATACTATCTTCATTATTTTGGATTTGTTTTTCTTTTTGCTATTCTGATTGGGTGTTTTTTGCTTCCTTATATTCTAAATCGATGGTGTGCTTCTAGGCTTCACCTACTCTACTATTGATTCCCTATAAATTATTTTTTATTTCAGTTAGTGCATCCTTCATTTTTGACTGGTCCTATATTATGCTCTTGAGGCCCTCACTGAGCATCTTTATAAGTGGTGTTTTGAATTCTGCATCTGATAGATTGCTTATCTTCATTCCATTTAGTTCTTTTCCAGGAATTTTGTTTTGTTCTTTCATTTGGGATATATTTTTTTGTCTCCTCATTTTGGCTGCCTGCCTGTTTGTTTCTCTGTATTAGGTAGTGTTGCTATGTCTCCTAAGCTTCTTACGGTGCCTGTTGGAGGTGTCCCATAGGGTCCAGTGACACAGCCTTTCTGATCACCGAGCTGGGCCCTCGAGTTGCACCCCTTGTGTGGACTGTACACCCTTCTGTTGTAATTAAGTCATGATTGTTGTTGGGACGTCAACGGGAGGGTTTTACTCAGGCTGATCAGCTGCAAGGACTGGCTGTGCCCACTATCCACCGACCTCTGCCTACCTTGGAGGATCAGCTATGCAGGGGCCCACCACACAGAGCAAGGCTTACTTCAGCAGGGCTTTGATACCCCCTGAGTCCATTCCTTGGATGTGTCACTTGTGGAGGTGGATTGGTGGTGGTGCTTCGACTTGATCTGAAGCTGTCCACTGGGTGTGCTGGCTCTGGGGCAAAGTTAGCCACTGCCTGTGTTCTGCCCGGGGTCACCTGGCATAAGCTACCAAGTGATCTTCAGATGGCTGCTTGTGCTGGGTTTGGAGGTGCCCAGAAAAAGCTGCCAAGTTGTGAACCAAGGTTGGCTACTTCTAGTGCCGGGCCTGGGGCCACTTAGTGAGAGGTATGAGGCTCATTGTGGCCAGGTGCTGCTTGTTTGAGAGAATTTAGGAAAATCTGAAGCAGGAGCCAATCCTATGGTAAAGCCACTGGAAACAGCTTGGGTGGGCCTGAAAGTTGGCTGGGGCAGGCCTCCGGGAATCACCAGGGCAGGGCAGACAGTATGAGCCAGTTTGCTGGCGTCCCAGATATGGTGGCCATCTGCCTGCCATTGGGGAAGGACCCACCAAAGGAACAACGGCCTAGGTCAGTCTGTCCAGGAAAAAGAAGCGTCTCCAGTCCTCTTCCCCTGATGCCAAACAACTCAGTTCTTCCCTATATGTCTTTGGTGCCTTTCTAGCTCCCTCCCCACGGTGCTGGAGCTCAGAGGGAGCGGATCTGAGTAAGTTCATTCCCGGGCCCTTTATTGATTGATTGATTGGTTGATTGGTTGATTGATTAATTGATACGTGCCCCTAGCGGGAACCGAACCCAGGATTCTCTGGTCTGCAGGCCGACGCTCCAACCGCTAAGACAAACCGACCAGGGCTGTTCTCAGGCCCTTTAAAAGGAGCTGCCTGGGGATCCAGCAGCTTCAGCCTCCCTCAGCCTCAGTTCCCACTGGTTTTATAGCCAGAAGTTGTGGGGACTTCTCTTCCTGGCACTGGCTCTCTGAGCTGGGCACCTGGTGTGGGACAGGGACCCCTCGCTCCTCCTGCAAGGAGGACCTTCCCAGCCAGGTGTCTTCCTGATTTTATCCACCACGTGTGAGTGTGGAACCAGCCCATCTGCCCCTCTGCCCCTTTTACCAGTCTCGATGTGGCTGCTTCTTTAATTTTGTAGTTGTAGGACTTCCATTCAGCTCAGTTTCAGGCAATTCTGAATGATGGTTGTTCTGTAGTTTAGTTGTAATTTTGATGTTGTGGGAGGAGGCAAGTACTGTGTTTACCTACGCCACCATCTTGACCAGAAGTCTGTCCATACTGTTTTAAAACTTGAAAATAGCTTGCCCTGGCTGGTGTGTATCAGTAGTTAGAGCATTGGCCCATGAAACAAAGGGTCGCAGGTTTGATTCCTGGTCAAGGGCATGTAACGGGGTTGCAGGTTTGATCCATGGTCCTGGTTGGGCAACTGCAGGAGGCGACCAATGGATGTGTCTCTCTCACATTGATGTTTCTCTCTCTCTTCCCCTTCCGCTCTCTGTAAAAATCAGTGGAAAAAATATCTCTGGGCGAGGATTAAAATAATAATAATAAAAAACAACAATAGCCCTGGCCAGTTTGGCTCAGCAGCTAGAGTGTCGGCCCATGGACCAAAGAGTCGTGGGTTCGATTCCTGTCAAAGGGCATGTACCTGAGTTGCAATTCGTTTCCGGCCCTGGTTAGGGTCATGCGGGAGGCAACTAGTTGATGTGTCCCTCTCACATCAATGTTTTTCTCCCTCTCCCTTTCTCCCACTCTATCTGAAGATAAATAGAAAAATATCCTTGAGTGAGGATTAAACCACCACAAGAATTCTTGACATGTGGTTAGAGCTATAAATATAAAAGTTTATTGCATCTTCATTTTTAAGCCTAGTACCTTGCAAATGATACTAGATTGAATTGCATTTTCTAAAATCCTTAATATACTATTCACGATAACAGACAGTTATTACAGCTTGGACTGTAGATATGGTAAATTAAGTGTTTCTGATACAGTATTTGCTTAATATTCTTTTCTCTTTCTCTCAAATCCATCTCTTTCTTTTCCCAGAGTCAAATAGACGTATTACTGGAGGGGCTATGCAACTATCTTTCACAAAACTAACTATAGATTATTATCCTTATCACAAAGCAGGTATGTATAACAATTTCTTAAAAAGACATAAATCGTGCTTTAAATTATATAGCCTATTTACTTTGTTTTTTTAATTTTATTTCATTTTAATTTAATTTCTAAAGCAAAAGGAGATCAAGGCATTTATAATTTTTCCCCTGTAGTATCTTACCAAGAAAATATAATTGCCTTAGAAAATATTCATGTATTTTATATTGAGGTTTATGTAGACTACTAGAATGTGTAATTATTAGAAATGGCAGTATTCTATTTTTTTTGTTTCTTTGTTTTTTTATCCTCACCCGAGGACATTTTTCATCTTTTGTTCAGATAGAGTGGGACAAACTGCAACCGGCCAGGGCTGTTTTGTGATTTTTTAAAAAAGTTTTAAATTAGTTATTTTGAATACTGCCAATTGCCGTGGCCAGTTTGGCTCAGCGGTTAGAGCATCGGCCTGCGGTCCAGAGAGACCCGGGTTTGGTTTCCGCTAAGGGCACGTACCTCGGTTGCAGTTTGTCCCCGGCCCTGGTTGGTCGTGCGGGTGGCAACCACTCGATGTGTCCCTTTCACATCGATGTTTCTCTCTCTCTCTCTTCCTCTCTCTCCCTCCCACTCTATCTGAACAAAAGATGGAAAATGTCCTCAGGTGAGGGTAATAAAAACACAACAAAAAAAAATCAGAATACAGAGGACACATATTTGTTCTATTTTGTTCATGTGACAGAAACAAATTTATTAATTAGTATGTTTGAATTTTTAAATGATATATTTAGATATTTAAAAAATAAAAAAAGAATTTAAAGCCAAAGGGTAACAGATTATAGTTGAGTCATAGAAGTTCAGGAACTTAAAAAAAAACTTTTCTGTTTTCTAAATTTTATTAGTAAATAAGATTTAATAGGCTCCTTAATAATCAAATATTGATAGGTTCTTCACCTCAAATGATAAAAACAATAAGAATGTATGCTTATGGCCAAATGAAGTAATTTACCCTTATACCCATTTCTGCATTTTGGTGGTATGTAGCTTTTTGTTTTTAATTCACACAGATAACTATAATGAGTTTTCTGGGATTTTACAAAGGGATAACATTTTTCTCTTCACCACTTTTTGTCACCCAGTGTTTGTCCTTTCTATATCAGTACCTGACGGCTTTTAAAGGTTGAACTATTTGTTTTGTTTTTGTTTGAGGACCTTTTTCTTATATTCTATTTCTCCGGATTCATAAGTTACTTATATATACCTAAAATACTTTTAACTATAGAAATCATTCGTATTGTGAAGTAAAACTTTCAGTTATAAAGTCGATTTTATTTTCTTAACCCTTTTATATACATACAACCTTCCTTAGTTACTACAGAGAAACCTAATAATCCTGATATTTAATTTTCCCTCCAAAAAACTTACATATATAGATACATCTGTATGACTGATGTCCAACTTGATAATTTTTATTAGTTTCTTCATTTTTTTTAATAATCCTTATCCAGTTTTTGATAGTCATGTTGCAACAACTCTTTGAGAAGAAGACTGTTTTCTTTGATGGCGTTTTCTGGGGTTCTGTCTGGTGGCACTCAGCCAGGTGGGTGAGCGTTCAGTGAAGGGTCACCAGCAGTGCCGCTCTGGATGGAAACTTCAAGTGGTGTTTTCCCAAGGGTTGGTTCTATGCAGAAACCCTCCCAGATTACTTCCTTCTGACTTTCTATTCTAAATGTTTTCTCATATTTTCTAGGAAGATTAAAATCTAGGTGAAGGCTCTACATTTTTTGGAAAATTGAAGAATCCCTTGAAAATATAAATAAATCTCATTCGAAGCATAATAGAATAAATGGAAATTGTGCACTTTTCAGTAAAATTTTTTGTTTTCCATTTTACAGGAGATAGTTGTAATCATTGGATGTATTTTAGTGATGCAACCAAGACAAAAAATGGTTGGGCCAGTGAGTTGTTACATGAATTTGAGTGCAACGTTGAAATGCTTAAACAAGCTGTGAAGGATCATAATGTAGGTTCACCTCCTAAATCCCCAACACATGCCTCTCCCCAGCACACACAAACAGGTATTTTACCTATAACAACATTATGGTGTTCCCCTAATATTAAGTGTGAGTGTGTGTGTATGTGTGTGTATGTGTGTGTGTGTGTGTTTTCATAATATGGTATTTTCTGTAAATAAGTATTATGTTTAATTAATGTATAAACATCGTGCATCTCATTTAGACCATAAGTGTATGGAACAAAGCACTTTTTAAAAAATAAGACTAAGACCTAGGTAGACTATTTCAGACTCTTAAATTACTAGACTTCTCTTTTAAATAAATATTTCAGCCAAAAATTATCATGAGAGTATCTTCAATGTGATATAAGTATGATTCCTGTTTAAAAGATGATCATGAAAAAATTATCACAATAATTTACATTTCTATATCAATTTATATATAAAGTATTTCCACACATATTATCTCATTTGAAAAAATCAGAGTTTATATTTCTAGTAGCTATCATAATAGTAAAAGAATGACTGTTAGGGAAAAAAATTGCAATAAATTGAAATAATTTTTTGTTCCCCACAGAGAAAGATTCAGCTCTCAAAGGGACTTCCAGAACACCTTCAGTATTATCTCAACAATCCAAAGCTAAATTAATGTCTAGTTCTGTTGTGGTTAGACTTGCAGATTTCAATATATACCAGGTATGTTTTACTTTTTTAAAAAAATTTATTTAATTTATTTATTTTAAATCTATTTATTTAAACATCTGTATTACAGATGTTCCTCATTTTTTACCCCATTGACCCCCTCCTCTCCACTCCCGTCCCCCTCCCTCCTTTTCCCACACTGTTGTCTGTGTCCATTGGTTATGCATATAAGTTCTTTGGTTTATTTCTTCCCACCCCCAAACTCTTTCCCTTTGAGGTTTGTCAGTCTAGAAACGAATTTGTACTTCTTAATCTCTTCACCTTTTTCACCCATTTCCCCAACCCCCCTCCCATCTGACAACCAACAAAATGTTCTCTGTATCTATGAGAAAGTTTCTGTTCTGCCTATTCATTTTGTTTGTAGATTCCATTGTTGATAGATATGTATTCATTGCCATTTTGTTTGTTCATATATTTTATCTTTTTCTTCAAAAAGACCCTTCATCATTTCATATAATAACGGTTTGGTGGTGATGAACTCCTTTAACGTTTTCTTGTCTGGGAAACTTTTTATATGGCTATCGATTCTAAATGACAGCTTTGCAGGATAGAGTAATCTTGGTTGTAGGTTCTTGCTTTTCAGCACTCTGAATATTTCTTGCCACTCCCTTCTGGCCTGCAAAGTTTCTTTTGAGAAATCAGCTGACAGCCTAATGGGAACTCCCCTGCAAGTAACAAACTGCTTTTCTCTTGCTGCTTTTAAGGTTCTCTCTTTGTCTTGAACCTTTCGTATTTTGATGATGATGTGTGTGTCTTGGTGTGGGCCTCTTGGGGTTCATCTTGTTTGGGACTCTCTGTGCTTCCTGGACTTGTATGTCTGTTTCCTTCACCAAGTTAGGGACATTTTTTGTCATTATTGTTTCAAATAGGTTTTCGATTTCTTGTTCTGTCTCTTCTCCTTCTGGCACCCCCAAGATGCGAATGTTGGCATGCTTGAAGTTGTCCCAGAGGCTCCTTACACTATCCTTATTTCTTTGGATTCTTTTTTCTTTTTGCTGTTCTGATTGGGCATTTTTTGCTTCTTTATATTCCAAATTGATGGTTTGCTTCTTGGCTTTACCTACTCTACCATTGAATCTGTGTAAATTATTCTTTATTTCAGTTAGTGCCCCCTTCATTTCTGACTGGTCCAATTTTATGCTCTTGAGGCCCTTACTAAGTTCTCTGAGATTCTCACTAAGTCCATTGAGCATCCTTATAAGCAGTATTTTGAACTCAGCATCTGTTAGGTTGCTTATCTCCATTTTGCTTAGTTCTTTCCTGGGGTTTTGTTCTGTTCTTTAATTTGGGACCTGTTTCTTTGTCTCCTCATTTTGGCTGCCTCCCTGTGTTTGTTTCAGTGTATGACTTAATGAGAGGTATGGGGCTCGCTGAGACCAGATGCTGCTCGTTTGAAAGAATGTAGGAAAAACCTGAAGCAGGATCCAAGACAGGCCAATCCTATGGTAAAGCAACTGGCAACAGCTTGGGTGGGCATGAAAGTTGGGTGGGGCGGGGCCTCAGGGAGTCACCAGGGTGGGACTACCAGTGTGAGCCAGGTTGCTGGAGTCCCAGATATGGCTTCTGTCTGCAGCGCCAGGGAAGGGCTCACCAAAGGAACAAAGGCCTCTGACAGCACGTTTGTCCCGGAGAAAGCCCCCTCTCCAGCCCTTGCCCCAGTGCCAAACAGCTCAGTTCTTCCCTGTATGTCTCTGGCGCCCCTCGAGCTGCCTCCCCTCCAAGCTTAGAGGGAGAGAGTCCGCTAAGTCAGTGCGCCGGCCCTTTAAGGAGCTGCCTGGGGCTCCAGCCGCTTTAGCCTCCCTGAGCCTCAGTTCCTGCTGGTTTTTCCAGCCAGAAGTTATGGGGACTTCTCTTCCTGGCTCTGGAACCCTGAGCTGGGCACCTAGTGTGAAATGGGGACCCCTCAGTCCTCAGGGAGGACCTTCCCAGTCGAGGTGTCCTCCTGATTTTTATCCGCCACACGTGGGTGTGGGACCAGCCCGTCCACCTCCGCCCTCCTACCAGTCTGGATGTGGCTGCTGCTTTAATTCCGTAGTCGTAGGACTTCCTTTCAGCTTGATTTCAGGCGGTTTTGAATGATGGTTGTTCTGTAGTTTAGTTGTAACTTTGATATGGTTGTGGGAGGACGCGATACCTAGTTTACCTACCCGCCGTCTTGACCGGAAGTCTGTTTTACTTTTATATCTTCTGATAAATACGTTTAGTATCTCCTGAAAGCAACTTTTATAAACTAATGCCACCATTGTATTTAAGAATATCTTGACCAGTTTTGTGAAATGGTTAAATTAGACAGGATGGAAAATATCGGTTCATTTATTTTTGTATATATAGTTTTCCAGAATTAGGCACACTGTGAGGTTAAGATCATATCCTTTCAACTGCCAAGTCTGCACAAGACTTCTGATAGCAATTGCAAGTTCAGGGATTTCTGTAAACTGCCCACTGATTTACGAATTCACTTAAAAAATTCACAGAACTCGCTGAAATCAGTTTTACTCAGAGTCACATTTATTACAGGGGAAATAATACAAATTAGAACCAGCCATAGGAAGAGAGCATAGAATGGAGTCTGGGAGGATTCTAAATTCAGAATTTCCTTTTCCTTAGGACACATTAACCTCCTGGCATGAACGTGTAACAATATATATGAAATATTGCCCACATAGTCGAATTCAGTCTCTAGGTTGACTAATACCAGGTGACCCAAGGTGGCCACCCTCTAGACAGTCCAAGTGTGGCCAGCCCTACTCTGAGACATCTTGTGAGCATAAACTATCACATTGTGGTTCCAGGGGTCCACAATGAATAGCAAATTCCAGTAGTTTAGAATTATCTCTCAGGGGCAGGGACAAAGGCCAGAACTCTCTTTGTTATTTTTTTTTTTTTTAATCCTCACCCGAGGACAGTTTTGCATTTATCTTCAGATAGAGCTAGAGGGAGAGAGGGAGGAAGAGAGAGAGAGAAAGTGAGAGAGAGAAACATTGATGTGAGAGAGACACACCGACAGGTTGCCAGCTACACAACCCTAACCTGGCCTGGGAACGAACCGCTACTGAGGTATGTGCCCTTAGCGGAAACCGAACCCGGGACTCTCGTCCATGGGCCGACACAGAACTCTCTTTGTAGCCCAGATTCCTTACTGCACAATTGTCTTAGAGGAAGAAACTAAAATAACTTTTTGCTTAACGAACAACCAAGTATTGGCTGTACTGTGAACATAATTTAATAGCTAAGAATCTCTATCCCATTTACACTAAAAATCTTATTCAAACTGTAATCTCACAACATGGTCTAACCTCACAGTCCTTGAGACCAACACAGTAGAATATGTGACCTATTTTTTACAAGGAAAAGAAAGGATTTCATATGTGTGTTAGCATTTATGAAATGTTCTCATTTATTTTGATAAGCCTATGACTTTGAGACTTAGTTTTATCTGAAAAGTTTATATTTACTCGCTGGTTTTCAATTGAGGTGAGTTTTGCTCTCTATGGGGCGCTTGGCGTTGTCTGAGGACAGTTTTGATTGTCACAGTTAGAGGAGGTTGCTACTAACATTAGTGGGTATAGACCAGTGATTCTGCTAAACATTCTATGATGTGCTGGACAGGCCCTACAGCCCCCACAGCAAAGAAGTATCCAGAATGTTAATAGTGCCAATTTTGGGAAACCCTGGTTTAACAGTTGCTTTTTAAATTTTTTTTTATCCTCACCCGAGGACATTTTTCCATTTTTTGTTCAGGTAGAGTGGGAGGGAGAGAGAGGAACAGAGAGAGAGAGAGAAACATCGATGTGAAAGGAACACATCGAGTGGCTGCCACCCGCACGACCGACCAGGGCTGGGGACAAACTGCAACCGAGGTACGCACCCTTAGCGGGAACCGAACCCGGGTCTCTCAGGACCGCAGACCGACGCTCTAACCGCTGAGCCAAACCGGCCAGGGCAACAGTTGCTTTTTTATTGTGCAATTGCTTCTTTCTTTATTTTTATTTATTTTTACTTTTTATCCTCACTTGAGGACATTTTTTGTTTTTTCCAGTTTTTGTTTAGATAGAGTGGGAGGGAGAAAGAGGAAGAGAGAGAGAGAGAAACATCGATGTGAAAGGGACACATTGAGTGACTGCCACCCACATGACCCAACTAGGGCTGGGGACAAACTGCAACCAAGGTACATGCCCTTAGTGCAAACCGAACCCGGGTCTCTCTGGACCGCAGACTGACGCTCCAACCGCTGAGCCAAACCGGCCAGGGCTCTTTCTTTACATTCTGTATATAATACATTTCATTTGAAACAGACTTTAAATTATGAGCTTTAATAAATCCAAATGATAATGAATTACCCATAATCTCAAATGGTTGAAGGTGGAATACAGTAAAGAAATCCCACATATACAAATACATGAAAACCAAACAAAAATAATGGAAGAAAATAAAATAGTATATTTATTTCATTTGGAGAATCTTTTTAACTATTAAAGGAAAAGGAGAATAAGCTGTTGTCTATTAAAATTACTTGACACTTTGAGTTGAAAAGAATTTATTTCCATATATGCAGAGAAAAGCTTCTTAATTAGATAATGTAAGGAACTAAATTTATACATGAAAAATAAAAGGTTTGATTAGCAGTTTACACAAGAGAAAACCTAAGTTTACCATCGAAAAAACATTTCACTTTTAGAAATATATTTTTTTTGAATGAATGAAGGAAGGAAGAAAAAAAATAACCTTGAGATATATCCCTGGGTCTACTGAGTAAACATAAATAAATGAAATTGACAAAACTCTATTGGCTGAACTTTGGGGAAATTAGTATATATATTTTTAATACAATTATAAATGATCAGTTTTGGGGTGAAGATAATGAGACTCTTAAAACTAATAGTGGGTTCTTTTGAAAAAAAAAGTATTTCAGAAGCATTTATAATTGTATTATTTTTATTGTATAATATACATAATCTAAAATTGACCATTTTAATCATCTTTAGGTGTATAAGTCATTGGCATTAAGTATATTCACATTGTTGTGCAACTATCACCACTGTTTGTCTTCATAACTTTTTTTTATGATCTCAAACTGAAACTCTGTATATAACTATATTATTTTTCTTAATAAAGAAATTTGGGTAGTTAATTATTATAAAGTACATGGTGGAGAAGCATTCTAGTCTTGAGAACTTAGAACTTTGTCCAGACTATTTTACTTATTTGTATTATTTTATAGAAATATTATGACTCAAAATAATACATTTGCAAGGAATGTTTTACAGAGTTGATTTTGTAATTGATAAGAATCCAAAGAGTGTAGTTTTCCAAATAGTTGATTTAAAAATAATTTAATGTGAAATTAAATATATAACAGTTTTCTTTGGAAATACAAATTATTGGAAGCAGTTTTAAGAGTTTGAAGTGATGTCTATGCTGCATAAATTCATTGGAAAGGGCTTTGATATTCATTGTTACTTTAGGAAACTTATTATTTTTTTTTAGGTCTCTACAGCAGAACAGTATCGTTCTTCCCCTAAAAGTATGATTTCTTGCAATAAAAAATCTCTGTATCTTCCACAAGAAATGTCAGCTGTCTATATAGAATTCACAGAATATTACTATCCAGATGGAAAGGATTTTCCAAGTAAGAAGGTTTCCTATTTTGTTATTATTTGTCCATTATTTAGGAAGTGGTTGTTTTCTTGCTAAGTTTTTGAGTTTTGTAAATGTGAAAAAAGAAACAAAGATCCATTGTTCTTTACTCTTGTTATCATTGTGTGTAGTATATAACTCTAGTAAAGAATTTTATATATCATTATTTGTTCATATGTTCTTTTCCCTCACTAGCTTGTAGCATACTTGATAGCAGGAACTTTGTAATATTCATGCTTCATTTATCCCTGAGTTTTAGAGGAAATACAAAAATTTAACTCATTTTTATGCTTAGTAGGTGTTTGTGTAATGACAGGCTATTTGTAGAATAAGATCATTTTTTTTCTTTTAGGGAAACTCCATTTGTATTTCTGCTATATAAACATAAGACTATAGTTCATTGAAAAAAAAAGAATAATGAAGTTATTTTCCTTTTAGCTACAGAGAATTTTTTGGGCTGATTTTTAATGCCCACATATATACCTCGGACAACTTTTGCTACTTGTCTGTCTTTAACCATTGAATTACATGCATTTTTTTTGATAAGCTATTTTGGCTGGCTAAAGTTAAAATGATTATACATTTGTGTTCTTTGAATGTTAAAAATTCTTCGCAATTTTCTTGGTTCATCTAGGAGTCCTTCAATTGAAAATTTCCTCTATTTATGTGGTACCTTTTTCATTATTGCAGTCGAAAATTATAGTTGAGAAAAAGTGTTTAAGTGAAGTAGGTTATGTTATTGGGGAATTTTTTTATTTCCTCTCTTTAAAAGTGGAACTACAAATAGTTTGTTATACTTTTTGCATTTGTTTAATATTGACTTAATATAGGTTCTTAGTTTCAAAGGGCAGTTCTGATGCTCATGCCTTTGTCATTACATAAAAAGAAGGTAGCCTGGAAATTACTTTGGAGACACATTTTATCACTTTGGTGGAACTATTTTATTGCTTTAATGTTAACAGATTTGGGGATCTAATCCTCACGGTTTTATGCTTTTCAACAGACTCATTTGTTTGTTTCTTTTACCTTAAAAGGATGAGAAAATTAAGATAGATTATTAAGACATTTGCTCAGCACCTTATGAATAGTAAAATGGCACAGCTGAAACTCCAGCATAGGTCTTCTCATTGAAATTCATTTTTCTCTCACTGTTTCCCCAGGACATTCACAGTCATTGTCTGTCATTGGGTAATCCTGTCGTTTCCAGCCCTCTCACACCTCCCCAAAATTGTTTCCTTAAATAATGTGTCATTGAACTAGTAATTTTTCTTCAGACTGAAGACTAGTTTCCAGGATTTCTAACTTCTAATTTAGGTTTACTGTATTTCTATCAGTTTTGTCAATGTGTGCCAAAGGAATTATAATCTCATTCTATAATCTATATATTTTTTTAATAAAAATATAAAGTCTTTTCCCCAGAAATTTAAATCCTAGTCCCCTAGATACCTAGGAATGGAATTGCTAAGTTATGTTTTAACTGTTTTTTCTTTAACTTTTTATTACGGAGAATTTTCAAACACATACAAATGTAGTATATTGAATCCCCATGTATAGGGATACATTAAAAAAAAATTTTTTTTCTTTATTGATTTTATTTTTTTTTTATCCTCTCCAGAGGACATTTTCCATTTTTGTTCAGATAGAGTGGGAGGGAGAGAGAGGAAGAGAGAGAGAGCTAGCGAGAGAGAGAAACATTGACGTGAAAGGGACACATCAAGTGGTTGCCTTCCATACGATCCCAACCAGGGCCCGGGACAAATCGCAACTGAGGTACGTGCCCTTGACTGGAATCAAACCCGTGACTCATTGGTCTGTGGGCTGACGCTCTAACCACTGAACAGACTGGTCAGGGCTTCTTTATTGATTTTAAAGAGAGAGGAAAGGAGAGAGAGACAGAAACATTGATGAGAGAGAACATCGATCAGCTGCCTCCTGCACACCCCACACTGGAGATCAAGCCCACAAACCAGGCATGTGCCCTGACCGGGAATTGAACTGGTGACCTCTTGGTCCATGGGTTGATGCTCAACCACTGAGCGACACTGGCTGGGCTAGGGAACCAGTTTTAATCCTCACGTTTCATCTCTCTCTCAAGTGATTTAACTTGAAAAACATATAACTTTTAAAATTATTATAAATATATTTATTATACTGAAGGGAAAAAAAAAGAAATTGCCAAAAAAAAAAATAGCGCATAAGCCTACAATTTTGAGACAGTTTCCCCTAAAACCCAATTGTGTTTGTTAGTGCTGCCATAACAAAGAACCACACACTGAGTGATTTAAACAACAGATTTATTTCTTCCCAGTTCGGAAGGCTAGATGTTCCAAATCAAAGGGTCAGCAGTCGTCTCCTTGGTTTATAAATGGCCATCTTCTCACATAGTCTTTCCTTTTTGTGTATGTTTCTTGATCTCTTCTTCTGACACCCATCATTATGGACCAGGGCCCACCCATATGAACTCATTTTTATCATAATTGCATCTTTAAAAGCCCTATCTCCATGTACAGTCACATTCTCAGGTACTGGAGATTAGAACTTCAGCATATCAATTTTTTTTTTCATCCTCACCCAAGCATTTTTTTTTTTTTTTTTGCGTTTATCTTCAGATAGGGAGGAAGAGAGAGAGAAACATCGAAGTGAGAGAGACACATTGATTGGTTGCCACCTGCAACCGGGGCTGGGGACGAACTGCAACCAAGCTATGTGCCATTAGCGGGAATTGAACCTGTGACTCCCCGGTCCGCAGGCCAACGCTCTAGCCGCTGGCCAGGGCTCAGCATATTAATTTTGAGGGGACAAATTTCAGACCATAACAATAAGTAGAGTGTTGTTAGTTCTGTTTTTAAGGTATGTTTCTTTTACGCATTTGATTTACATCCTGTTCTATTCCCTCAATGATAGGAGCATATTCCAGGTTTCTACAAGTTCATTTTAAATCTTTTTTTTTGTTTTTTTAATCTTCACTTGAGGATATTTTTTTATCTTCAGGTAGCGTGGGAGGGGGGAAGAGAGAGAGAGAGAGAGAGAGAATCATCTGTTGGTTGCCTCCTGCACGACCCCAACTGGGGCTGGGGATGAACCGCAGCCGAGGTACATGCCCTTGGCTAGGATCGAACCCGGGACTCTTTGATCCGCAGGCCAACACTCTAACCACTGAGCCAAACCGGCCAGGACCATTTTAAATATTTTAATAGCTAAATAATAATCTGCTTTGTAAGTAGACCCCAATTAGAAACTGTATATAGATTTTTCTGCTGCTTAGTGCACCGGGTTTCTTCCTCTGTCCCAGATCTGTAGTCAGTGTTTTTTCCTTTTGTACTCTAGCCTTGGGGGCCACATTTGTTGTCTAATCTTCTCTGTGGATGCCATCATCACTTAATCTATACTTGAGTTTCCTTCTTGTTTCTTTGCTCCCAGAATGCAAAGTGACCTCATCAGCACCCCACTGTTGGACTTAATTTACAATTTTTCTACTTTCATGTTTGTCTTGTGTAATAATCTATGAACTTGTTAAGAAAGGGACCATGCCCTAGTTTTTAAATTAATTTTTTGTGCTTAATACAATACACAAAACATGGTTGACATTCAGTGAATCTTTGCTGAAAGAAAAGTAAATGAGAGAGAAAGTGAAGGGGTGGAGGGAGGGAGGGATAGAGGGAGGAAGGGGTTGAGGAAGGGAGGGGTAGAGGGAGGGACAAAGGAAGGAAGGAGGGAAGGAAGGAGAAGGGAGGGAGGGAGGGAGGAAGGAAGGAAGGAAGGAAGGAAGGAAGGAAGGAAGGAAGGAAGGAAGGAAGGAAGGAAGGCAAAAAAGGAAGGAAGGCAAAAAAGGAAGGAAGACAAAGAAATCCTATTCAGGACATTGTTATAATGCTATCTTTACTGCATATAATCCCAGCCTTGGGGCTTATTTTTTAAAAAATTAATACAGTTTAAAAGTTCTAGATATGCATACTGTTTGTTTTGGTAGAATTAAATAGGTCTGAATTTTTAGAATAAAATATTCTCATTAAGATGATCTGAAAATAATATTGGCTTTTATGATACAAATATATATGGATTTCAAAAAGTGATATATACTCTAATTATAATATTAGTTTAACATATATTAGTATTAAAACATTTATCTAATTCCTAGGCATTCTAATATTTGGGGGAAGCTATGAAAAAGAGTTTATTCATTTGATTTTCTAAGAGATACTTGAGTTTTTACTTGGCACCAAGCACTGTTCTAGGTCTAGGATTAAGGGGAGAATAAAACTGCACATGGTCCCTTCCTCTCAAGGAGATTTGCCTGGTTTACCACTTTCATAAGAAATTAATCATTAAGACTTGGTTCTTTCACTGTGGAGGATTCAGATTAACATTCAGGTAGTAAAAGCCTTTATAGAAATAGGGATTAAGGATCACAACTTGGATGTAATAATTTATTTAAAAGGTAAGGTTTTTTTTTTTGAAGTTTGCTTTTTGGTGACTATAACATTAGAAAAAAAAAAATCTAAAGGGTATTTCCTATTTATACAGTCAGTTTTAGGTTAAATTGTATATTTTTCAGTTTGTGAAACAGAAAAATGTTTTTTTGTCTAAACATGTTTGCTATCATCTACATCTGTCACTTTAGTTTTGTAAGTAATATCTGGAAAACTTTTTACCTAAATTATAAAAGAATAAAACTTGTTAAAAAATGTCTTTTTTATTGAAAACCTTTTTAAAATTTTTTTCTCCACAGTTCCATCTCCCAACCTTTATAGCCAGCTGAATGCACTACAGTTTACTGTGGATGAAAGAAGTATTCTGTGGTTAAATCAGTTTCTGTTGGATTTAAAACAGAGCCTTAGTCAATTTATGGCTATATACAAGTTGAATGAAAACTCAAAATCTGATGAGCATGTTGATATTCGAGTTGATGGCTTAATGCTAAAGGTACCATATAAACAAGTGGCTACAAGAACAACACCATTTTTACAGAAGAAAAGTTAACACCATTATAATTTCCAGAATTTAAGAGGGGTGCTCAAATATAAATCAGTTTCATTGCAATCTTAACTTTGATTTTGAAATTTAAGTTTTGATTTTCAATTATAGAAGCTTTAATAGACTTCTTTTCCTGCTTCTTTCTCTGTCTTTGTTTTATTCTTTTCATTCCTCATCCTTTTGGAGGTAAGCAGTAGAAGTATAATTTTATTTTATTTTATTCTTTATTGATTTTTAGAGAGAGAAAGGGAAAGGGAGAGAGAGACAGAAACATCGATGAGAGAGAACATCGATTGGCTGCCTCCTGCATGCCCCCCACTGGGGACTGGGCCCACAACCTGGGCATGTGCCCTGACCTGGAATCAAACTTGCGACATCTTGGTGCATGGGTTGACGCTCAACCACTGAGCCACACTGGCTGGGCTAGAAGTAAAATTTTTTTTTTAATATATATTTTTTTTCTTTCATGATTTTAGAGAGAGGGGTAGGAAGAGGTAGAGAGAGATAGAAACATCAATGAGAAAATATATTGTTGGCTGCCTCCTACATGCCCTATACTGGGGATTTGGTCTACAACCTGGGCATGTACCCTGACCAAGAATTGAACCGACAACCTCTTGGTGCATGGGTGAACGTTTAATCACTGAGTCACACTGGCTGGGCTAGAAGTAAAATTTTAATCATTCTTTTTTTTTCTACTTCTTACCAGAGATGATAACATTTTTCTGTTAAGGAGAGTAAATAAAACAGTTAAGCTTTAAAGTTATATCTGGGTTTTATTTATTCACATTTATTCTATTTTTTTGTTGTTGTTAATCTTGCCTTGGGTGTTTTTCCACTGATTTTTTAAATTTTATTTAAGATAGAGTGGAAGGGAGGGAGGGAAAAAGAGAAACCTTAACGTGATTGAGACATAACGATTGGTTGCCTTTATGTGACCCCAACAGGGTCAGGGATGGAACCTATAACCCAGATATGTGCCCTTGACTGAGAATTGAACCCATGACTCTTTGGTCCATGGGTGGATACTCTAACCACTGAGAAAAACCGGCCAGGGCTATTCTATTATTAATATACAAAGATAATATTACAGCTACATGATTGGTAATCTGAATTCCCTGGATATTTAAACTGTAAAGGAAGGAAATGAAAAAAATAACTATATAGTGTAGTAAATAGAGAGAATAAGACTTGGGCATGGATGAAAATGTCAGTGTTGCTGGTAGACTAAATTTATGTACCTTTAATTTTTTTCATAACATTTATAATTAAATATCTTTATTGATTTTAGAGAGAGAAGAAGGGAGAGGGAGAACGAGAGCTAGAAACATCAGTGAGGGAGAAACATTGATCAGCTGCCTCCCTCATGCCCCCCATGGGAGATTGAGCCCAAAACTCCGGGCACGTGCCCTGACCAATAGTCAAACCTGCGACCTTTTGGTGCACGAGTTGATGCTCAACCACTGAGCCACACCGGCTGGGCTGTAATTATAATTTTTGATACAATTATATAATGACCTTTACATTTTCTGAATATGGACAGTTTTAAAACCAGTCACTTTGAACACTTTGATGTAAATCTTTTAAGCACCGGGGTCAGTTATCTCTGGAAAACTATTTTAGTAAATAGTTGGACCTAAGTTTATTTTCTTAATAGGTTTTTCCTAGAAAAATGGTTCTAATGAAATCTATTGAATTATTCCATTTATTCATGTATTCATCCTCTAAATTGCTTGAATCTTAAATACCCTTGCAAAAAATTCCCTTTTTGAAACTTGGCACTTTCTTTATATTCAGGGCATAGTAAGCATTTAGTAGTACTGATGTAATTTTTTTAAAAATTTGTGTATGTTATATGCAAATATATTTGTATGTTATATACATTATTCATTATTTGTATTTGTGTTTTAAGCTTAGTGGTAGATCATTTAAGTCCTTTTTATTCAGTTTAATAAAAGATTTTGGCCCTGGCCGGTTTGGCTCAGCGGTTAGAGCATTGGCCTGCGGTCCGGAGAGACCCGGGTTCGGTTCCCGCTAAGGGCATGTACCTCGGTTGCAGTTTGTCCCTGGCCCTGGTTGGTCGTGCGGGTGGCAGCCACTCGATGTGTTCCTTTCACGTCGATGTTTCTCTCTCTCTCTCTCTCTTCCTCTCCCTCCCACTCTATCTGTACAGAAAATGGAAAAGTGTCCTCGGGTGAGGATAAAAAAATAAAAATAAAAAAAATAAAAAGATTTTGGAGGGAGAAATGTTAGTATTTTAGATAAGAAACTAGTATTTTGTAGGGGAATGTCGAATTCCTGAGCTGAGTCATGTTCTTGATTATTTTATCTTCAAGAGATATGGATTTGTAATATTTTTTATATTTTAAATATTGTTTCTTTTCTAGTTTGTTATTCCTTCTGAAATGAAATCTGAATGTCATCAAGATCAACCACATGCAATTTCTATTCAGAGTTCTGAAATGACTGCCACAAATACAAGGCACTGTGCAAACTGTCGACATTCTGATCTAGAAGCCTTGTTTCAAGACTTTAAAGATTGTGACTTTTTCAGTAAAACATATACCAGCTTCCCCAAGTCAAGTGACAATTTTAATCTTCTGCATCCAATCTTCCAGAGACATGCTCATGAACAAGATACCAAAATGCATGAAGTTTATAAAGGGAATATTACTCCCAAGTTGAATAAACACACTCTTAAAACTTCTGCTGCCACAGATGTTTGGGCTGTGTACTTTTCTCAATTTTGGATAGATTATGAAGGGATGAAAAGTGGAAAGGGACGACCAATAAGTTTCATAGACTCTTTCCCTCTTTCCATCTGGATTTGTCAACCAACTAGGTATGCATTGTCTCAAAAGGAGCTGCAGACTTGTAATCAGGTATCTCTAAATACATCACAAAGTGAATCCAGTGATCTGACTGGTCGTTTGAAGCGGAAAAAACTCTTGAAGGAGTATTACAGTACAGAGTCTGAGCCCTTGACAAGTGATAGTCAGAAATCTTCAAATACATTTTTAAGATTTTCCTCTTCATCATCAGATGCAGATATTCACATCCTGGTTCATGTTCATAAACACGTCAGCATGCAGATCAATCACTACCAGTATCTGTTCCTGCTTTTCCTCCATGAGTCACTTGTTCTGCTTTCAGAGAACTTAAGGAATGATGTAGAAGCTGTAACTGGCAGTCCGGCTAGTCAGACATCCATTTGCATTGGAATTTTACTTAGAAGTGCAGAAGTGGCTCTTTTATTACATCCAGTGGATCAAGCAAATACTCCTGTTTCTGAAAGTGTGAACCCAATGGTTTCTGATTATTTGTCTACAGAAAGTAGAGAATTCTCATCTTCAAAACGGAAACAAGTTAGTAATGGTATAAATCAAATTAGAAGTGCAACTGGTAATCATATGTCAGACAACAGATCTATGAGTGTTGACCTTAGCCATGTCTCTTTGAAGGATCCTTTGCTTTTTAAATCAGCTAGTGATACAAATCTGCAAAAAGGTATTTCTTTTCTAGATTATTTGTCAGATAAAAATTTAGAGAAAATAAGTGAAGATGAAAGTAGTGGAATTCTTTGCAAAAGTGGCTCAAGGGAAATTGGATTAGAAACAATGGACAAAAAGGATGTATCTTGTACAGATTCAGACAGTGTCTTAAACTACAGAGAACATTCAGGTATGCTGTCATTTGATCATGATGGTAATCAAAACATGCTTTCAAATAGTTTAACTAGTAAAGAAAATGAAACCATAGAGTTGATCTTTAAAGGTGAAGATTTGCTTCCAGAAACAGCTTCACTCTCTGAGAACCTGGAAATCAGTAAAGAAGAAGCACCCACAGTTAGAACACTTAAATCACAGTCATCTTTAAGGTAACAATGTGCTGTTGGAATTGGGGTCGGGGACAGGTGTGTGTGTGTGTGTGTGTGTGAGAGAGAGAGAGAGAGAGAGAGAGAGAGCGCGTGCGCGCGCGCCCATGAGCGCATGTTTTGGACCAAAACCTCATGGCAAAATATAGCATTGTTAGAGTTAACATATTAAAGTACTTTGAGCTTATACTTATAAAATATAATTTATAAATTTTTGGATACTGTATACATATTTCTATTTTGCTAGAAGTATTTTTTTAGAAAGAGTGTTTTACCTTAGACGGGATGATTTTCTAATAACTGTGTTTGGTAACAGTGGGAAGCCTAAAGAACGGTGCCCATCGAACCTGGCTCCGCTCTGTACTTCTTATAAGAGCATGAAAAGAAGCTCCTCACAAACCTCATTGGATACCATTTCACTTGACAGCATGATTTTGGAAGAACAGTTGTTAGAAAGTGATGGAAGTGATAGTTTTCTGGAAAAAGGTAAAGCAACACAGTAAAGCATTTATATTATTTATATGTATATTAGAAATTGTTTTTTGTTTTTAGAAATTATGTGTAAGTATTTTTAGTTATATTTAAAAATTAATTACATCCCAAAACAGACATTTTATTTATATACACATACACCCATGGTACAAAGAGCATTGTACTTAATTTTTTAATTTTTTATTTTTTTATCCTCATTCGAGGACATTTTTTTGATATTTTGTTCAGATAGAGTGGGAGGCAGAGAGAGAGAGAGAGAAACATCGACATGAAAGGGACACATTGAGTGGTTGCCACCCATATGACCCAACCAGGGCCTGGGACAAACTATAACTGAGGCACACACCCTTAGCAGGAACCGAACCTGGGTCTCTCCGGATCGCAGGCTGACTCTAACCGCAGAGCCAAACCAGCCAGAGCCATTGTACTTAATTTTCTAGTAGTTGTTCTAGTGCTTCTTTTAACCAGATACTTCTTTTTTGTGTGTGGCTGACATCTAGCATTTATTTGTATGTTGATCATAAAGCAGACAGCATTAAGGCTACTAGTTCTCTTACAGAGACTTCTATATATGGAATGTTGATTAGGTGATCTTAATTAGCATGATGGATTCTTAAGTATGTGGTCCTAGGACTGGAGTCCAGACTGGATCTACTTATTCCCATAGCAGGATTCTCTCACGTACATGATTATATCTGATGGAACCGCATGATTACTTCTTTTTTATTTTATTTTATTTTTTTTATCTTCACCCAAGGACATTTTTGCATTTATCTTTAGATAGAGCTAGAGGGAAAGAGGGAGGGAGAGAGAGAGGGAAACATCAGTGTGAAAGAGACACATTGACTGGTTGCCACCTGCACGACCCCAACCGTGGCCGGGGACAAACTGCAACCAAAGTACATAGCGGAAACCAAACCCAGGTCTTTCTGGTCTGCAGGCCGACACTCTAACCGCTGAGCCAAACCGGCCAGGGCTGATTACTTCTTTTTATTCAGAGGTCCCTAATGCCCCTGTAAAGACTACTGGGAATGACTTAGAAATAATTACCTGCATTCCCACCACTAAGGCATTGAGGACTTTGTGAACAGGAATAAAAACATGGGCCATCGCCAGGGAGTAGTTGTCCCAGACACTAAAGCATAAAAGACCAGAGATACCTACAAACTACTTTGTGTATAGAGTAATAAGCCTATGGATGTAGTTGAAGACAGCTTAGGTAAGGAAAGACTTATAGCCTCAGAAATGGAAGCTTAGAGAAATTAGGATACAGTCAGGAAGCAATCGAGGCAGGTTTGGAACTCAACTAGTCTGACTCAAGAAGCTACTCTTATTTTTGTTTTGTTTTTAATTTTTCTTTATTGATGTTAGAGATGAAGGGAGAGGGGGAGAGAGAGAAAAATTGATGAGAGCGAACATTGATTGGCTGCCTCCTGCATGCCCCCACTGGGGATCAGGCCCACAACTTGAGCATGTGCCCTGACCGGGAATCAAACCGGCAACCTCTTGGTGCATGAGTCCATAAGAGCCTATGCTTTTGACCAACCAGTATGTTATAATAGCTCTCTAGACAAGGGGAATGGTTACTATACCAAAAAGCCCTCATCTACCCCTGTTAGAGGCCATTCATAGCCTGTACCAGTTAAATGGAGAAGAGGTACTTAATATAGGTCATAAAAATTAAGTCTAGATTCACAGAGCTGTTGCTAGTTCCTCTGCCCCTTTTATGGTTTTAAATCCTACCTTAGCAGAGCATTTCTGTTCTGTGATCAAAATATACTTCAAAAACAGTGTTCCTATTGGAAATATCTCTACTTATTCTCAAAAAGGGTAAGTGACTTTCTTATTATTTCTAAATATTAAATAATTAATAAAAATGACTACCACTTAATTTTGGAAAATATAAACTACTGCAGTTTGGAAAATAACTCCAAAATTCCATGATCTAGTGATATCAACTATCATTTTTCTATAAATTTGTATATGAATTTACATATATATGTATTTGATGTCATATTACATATATGATTTTTTAACCTACTTTTTATCACACGTAAGCATTTCTAATATTATTTAAACTCCTTTGAAAATATTAAGTTGTCATAAGAATGTAATGACCTTTTAATCATTTCCCTGGTATGGGATGTTTAGATTGTTTATAGTTTTTCACAGTTTAAAAAATGGTATAATTAATATCATTCACAAAGTTTTGTCTGCATTTCTAGTTACTATCTTAGAATAGATTCCAGCACTAGACTATTTTTAGGATCTTAAAAAAAATCAGGGGATTGAGTCTGTTTGTAACATTTAAATATGTGCTATATAGTCCTACTTCTCCTGAACTATAATAATTTTTTTTTTTTGTGGTATGTGCCCCTAGCGGAAACCGAACCTGGGACTCTCTGGCCTGCAGGCTGACACTCAACCGCTGAGCCAAACTGGCCAGGGCTATAATGATTTTCTTTATGTTAAAGAAATTTATTTTCATTAGGAACACTCTTGTTTTTTGTTTGTTTGTTTTAATTTTACAAGAAATATATGACTATTTTCTCATTGTAAAAAAAAAAAAAATCAGGTGTTATGAAAATTATCTACAATAAAAAATGAAGGTATCACTTTAAACCACCCTTGCTCTTCCCCTTGATACCATTCCCCACCCCAGAAATAACACCCATCTCAAGTTTTAGTGTATACTGTATACTTCCAGATCTTTTTCTGTGTATTTTCAATACATATGTATATGTTTATACCTAATACATTGACATATATGTATACAAAGAGATATACATGTGTATGTATATGTGTATACATATTTTGGCATATATATACATATTTATATACAGATAAACAGACATATAGCTGGACTACTGCCCCACCACAGTCTCCTAACTAGTCTCTCCACTTCTATTCTTGTCAATTTTCTTTTTTTTATATTTAAATTTTTTTCTTTATTGATTTTAGAGAGAGAGAAAGGGTGAGAGAGAGAGAGAGAAACATTGATGAGAGAGAACATTGATTGGCTGCCTCCTGCATGCCCCCCACTGGGGATTGAGCCCACAACCTGGGCATGTGCCTTGAGTGGGAATCGAACTGGCGACCTCTTGGTGCATGGCTTGATGTCAGCCAGCCCGGCTATTGTCAATTTTCAATTCATTCTTCACTCAATAGGAAGAATACTCTTTTTAAAAATGTAAATGCTATCATGTTTATTTTCATTTTAATCCTGGTAACTTCTCATTACTATAAGGCTAATAAGTTTAAAAACCTTAACCTTACTGAGAGTACTCTGTGTGATATGGCCCAACTTATCATTTCTGCTATTTTCCCATGTGCTTACTACATTTCACATTTACTTTAGTATCGTTCAGTCTTTTCCTCAGTTTCTTCATGGTGAAAAGTTTTTTCCACCTCAGAGTCTTTGTACCTGTGCATAGAATGTTATTTTTCTTTCTTTTTACTTAACTTAAATATTGCTTTATCAGGGAAGCCTTCTTAACCTCTAACTATGTTACGAACTCCTGTAAAGTGAAGCTTTGTTATCTATTCATGACACAATTGTATTAATATACATCTTCCCTGGCACTCAAAAAGTCTTATTCATTCTTTCAATAAGTAATTTATTAAACACCTACTGTGTTGCCAGGCACTGGGTTAGAAGATGATTATGTAGTAGTAAATATAATAATAAAAACATTGAGGCCATGTTTATGTGTCTTTGGCTTTTTTGATCTAAATTTTCTAGTAATTTATTTTTACAGTGTTTTTTAAAAGTATTGATCTGTGATGGACACTTTTTAAAATGTTGTCTTTTACCACAGAGAATTTGAGAAATACGGAAATACAGCACATTGAGAAATTAAAGTAGGTAGAGAATGATTACATATTGATGATTGTGGTGTTAACTTCATGTAGAAGATAATTAGAAGCTACTGAATAGAAAAACTAAGTGGTCAGACTGAAACTATTCAATGTATACAGGACAGAGTAAAGCAGGCCCCACTGGCTGACCACGAGCCTGCTAGTTACACAAAGCACCGTGCTGCAAGGAGAACACAAGCTATGGTCAGCTGTGGTAGATTTCTTTTCAGACTGTCTAAGTTTATGCCTTACGTATCTCTAAATTTTTTGTGAGAAGTTATTTCTTATTATTTGCTAACTAACCATAATTTCATTTTTCTTTGCTTATTGTCTGTTAAACAGGGCTACGCTTAGGAAAGAGTTAAAGGGATAGCCCATTTTGGTTAGATAAACGCAACATTTTTGGATCATTTGTAAAACTGATTTTAATTTATTGTATTATTTTAGGTATTAAAAGGAATTCCAGTACAAATTATCAGAGCTCAGCAGATAGTGCAAATGCCAGTACAAACCTACAGAATGATGGTGAAGCCTCTCCAGATGCTGTCAGTACGAATTCAGAGGGTACTCAAGAAAACCATAGTGACCTGGTAATCATTGCAGAGATTCTACGAGGAGAAATGCCACCAACTTTATCTCACGTTTAATATGTTCACATGTTAAGACATTGATATATAAAATGAGTTGACTTAGATTGTGGGTGATTCACTTTTTCTCACTTGAAAATTCACTTTCTACTTTTAAATTCTTCCCTCTTACTGAATTGTTTTTCTCTGAATTTCACTTAAAAAAATTTTTTTTTGTATTGAGAAGAGGGAGTTCTTTTTCCATTTTTTATTTTTTGACCTTTATTTCAGTTTCCATTTAAATGTACTTTGGCCTGGCTGGTGTGGCTCAGTGAATTGAGCGTCATCCCATGGACTAAGAAGTCCTGGTTCGATTCCCAGTCAGGGCACATGCCCAGATTGCCGGCTCAATCCCCAGTAGGGAGCGTGCAGGAGGCAGCCAATGTTTATCTCTCACATCAATATTTCTATTTCTCCCTTCCTCTCCCTCTAAAAAAAAAATCAATAAAAACATATTTAAAAATATATATATATGTTTTAAAAATGTATGTATATATTTATATACTTTGAAAAAGTTTGATGGTAAGCATGGTAGTCATTTCCTATGAGGGGCTTTCTACAAAAGAAATATATTGCTTGTTTATTTAAGCTATCTTCAGCAAAATATTCTGAAGATAACTTAGAAAAAATGCTCAACTTTTAATGAAAATAACTTCACACAGAAATGTCATGTAATTAGTTTTTGTGGTAAAAAAAAATTCTTGATTGAATAAGAAGAAAGGGGGCTTAAATTTATTACTCTAATAAATCACTTTTTTTTTCCCCATTGATTTTTAGAGAGAGTGGAAGGGTGGGAGGGAGGAGAGGGGAGAGAGAGAGAGCGAAAGAGAGAGAGAGAAACATTGATGAGAGAGACACATTGATTGGTTGCCTCCCGCATGTGCCCTGACCAGGGCCAGGGATTGAACCTGCAACCAAGATACATGGCCTTGACTGGGAATCAAACCCATGACCCTTTGGTCCCTGGACCTATGCTCTAACTGCTGAGCCGTACTGGCCAGGGCTAAACCACATTCTTTTGATCACAAGTATATATTTGGTTTATTAGGCCACAGTTGTATTTTTAGAGGCTATAGTAATTTCCTGTGTTATTTTTTTAATTTTTGTTTTAACTAATTGGTATACTAATATTATTTATGTAATCATTGTTAGATGTCAGTCGTGATGTTTAAAATTACTGGTGTTAATGGGGAAATTGACATCCGAGGGGAAGATACAGAAATCTGTCTTCAAGTGGACCAAGTGACACCGCATCAGTTAGGCAATGTCAGTCTTCGGCATTACCTTTGCAACCGTTCTGTAGGTGAGACTTTAATATGACTTAAACTTTTGCTTTTTTATACCTATGACTCATCAACATGTAAATGAATTCAAGGAAAATTACATTTCAATCAGAGATTTGTTTTTTTTTAAATCACCTTATTTCCATGTTGATTACATTATTAGAAATATAATCTGTTGAAGATGTATTCTCTAATATGTTTTCTGTTTCTGCTATTGATAAAGTTCTGTCTTACTTTTTTCAATCTTCCCATTCTTTGAGATAATGGGTCTTGAGAAAACAGTTCTTTCTATATGAAAATAGTGATATAGTAATCCCAGAAGGTCAAACTTAGTCCCATACCAGAATAAATGTCAATTTCTATATTCCATTGTTTTGCTTATAAGCAAACATTTCCAATTACTTAGTATTGGAAAAATTGTCTATCCTGTTCTTGTGTTCTTCATTCTAAGATCAACCCTTTCCCTTGGACATAGAGGGATAGATATAAGCAACAAAACATGCAGGGTATGAAGAGAAAACCACATTTCAATCCCCTTTTCAAAGTTTAAATAAAGTTATCATTCGTAGTTTTTAGTCATTTGAATAAAGGAATTTATTAGAATAGTTATACTAAGAATGTAAAATGACAACCTTTAATTTTTAAAATCCTTTAAGAAGTCATTGTGCTATAATATTTTTCTTTGCTATATATACACAGAATGCTGTATCTGATATGTAACATGTTGAAATGTACAGTCCTATATGATATCAAATAAGTATGCTATCACTTCACATCATGGGAATTGCAGGTAAATGTGCCATTTTCCTATAAGCCAGCATCACTGGAAAAAAATTGGCTCAGACTTTTTTTTCTGGGTAAGCCTTGCAGTTTACAATGTATCTGCTAAAAAATTTCAAGAATTTTATATTAGCAAGTATAAATCCTAATAGCATGTTAAAAAGGAAGAAACTAAGTATGTAGTTGGAAAGGTTTTATAGTGGACAAAAACAAAAAAAGATTGAACATAAAATTTCAAAATCTAGATAGTGATCTATACCAATCCAACCACTTTTCAAATTGTACACTCTTAGATTATTTCCAGTTGCACAATTATTTTTTTTTACTCTTCTTTATAGCTCACTTAGTCCCATACCTTTAAAAACATTTTTAAAATTATTTTAAACTTATCTTTATTGTTGAATGTATTACAGATGTCTCCCCCTTTTTTCCCCATTGACCCCTTCTTCCCTACTCCCAGCCCCCTCCTGCTTTTCCCACACTATTGTCTGTGTCCATTGGTTATACATATGTGCATATAAGTTCTTTGGTTTATTTCTTCCCACCACCCACCCCCACACGCTTCCCTTTGAAATTCATCAGTCTAACAACTTGTACTTCTTAATCCCTTCACCGTTTTTGCCCATCCCTCCAACCCCCTACCATCTGGCAACCATCAAAAAGTTCTCTGTATCTATGAGTCTCTTTCTGTTTTGCTTGTTCATTTTGTTTGTAGATTCAACTGTTGATAGATAACGTATTTTATTGCCATTTTATTGTTCATATTTTTTATCTTTTTCTTCAAGAAAACCTTTCAACAGTTCATAGAATACTGCTTTGGTGGTGATGAACTCCTTTAGCTTTTTCTTGTCTGGGAAACTCTTTATATGGCCATCGATTCTAAATGACAGCTTTGCAGGATAGAGTAATCTTGGTTGTAGGTTCTTGTTTTTCATCACTTTGAATATCTCTTGCCACTCCCTTCTGGCCTGCAAAGTTTCTTTTGAGAAATCTGCTAACAGTCTTATGGGAACTCCCTTGTAGGTAGGTAACTGACTGCTTTTCTCTTGCTGCTTTTAAGATTCTCTCATTATCTTTAACCTTTTGCATTTTGATGATGATGTGTCTTGGTGTGGGCTTCTTTGGGTTCATCTTGTTTGGAACTCTCTGTGCGTCTTGGATTTATGTGTCTGTTTCCTTAAACAAGTTAGGGAAGTTTTCTGTCATTATTTTTTCAAATAGGTTTTTATTTTTTTGCCCTCTTTCTTCTCCTTCTGGCACCCCCATGATGCAAATATTGGTATACTTGAAGTTGTCCTAAAGGCTCCTTACACTATCCTCATTTTTTGGATTCTTTTTTTCTATTTGCTGTTCTGATCGGGTGTTTTTTGCTTTCTTATATTCCATATCAGTGGTTTGCTTCTCGGCTTCACCTACTCTACTATTGATTCCCTGTAAAGTATTCTTTATTTTAGTTAGTACATCCTTTATTGCTGACTGGTCCTTTTTTATGCCCTTGAGGTCCTCACTAAGTTCCTTGAACATCCCTATAACCATGTGTTTTGAACTCTGAATCTGATTGATTGCTTATCTCCGTTTTCTTTAGTTTTTTTTTTTCTGGAGTTTTGTTCTGTTCTTTCATTTGGGATGTGTTTCTTTGTCTCCTCGTTTTGGCTGCCTCCCTGTGTTTGTTTCTATGTGTTAGGAAGAGCTGCTATGTCTCCTAGGCTTGGTAGGTTGGCCATTGTAGTAGGTATACTGTAGGGTCCAGTGGTACAGCCTCCCTGATCACCCCAGCTGGGCCCTCGAGATGCACACCCTTCTGTTGTAATTGAGTCTTGATTGCTGTTGACACATCAATGGGAGGGATTTACTTAGGCTGATCAGCTGCAAGGATTGGCTGTGCCCACTGACCACTGATCTCTGACTACCTTGCAAGACCAGCTATGCAGAGGCCCACCACACAGAGCAAGAATTACTTTAGCAGGGCTCTGGTACCCACTGAGCCCACTCCTTGAGTGTGTCACTTGTTGAGATGGTTGGGTAGTGGTGCTTTGATTTGGTCTGAAACTGTCCACTGGGTGTGCTGGTTCTGGGGCAAGGTCAGCCACTGCCTGTGTTCTACCCAGGGCCCCCTGGCATAAGCTACAAAGTGATCTGCCTCTGGCTGCTTCTTCTGCTGGGCTTGGAGGTGCCCAGGCAAAGCCAAGCTGTGAACCAAGGCTGGATGCATCTGGTGCCAGGCCTGGAGCCTCTTAGCGAGAGGTATGCGGCTTGCTGAGGCCAGATGCTGCTTGTTTGAGAGATTTTTAGGAATATCTGAAGCAGGAGCCAAGACAGGCAAATCCTTTGGTAAAGCCACTGGAAACAGCCAGGTTGCTGGAGTCCCAGATATGGTGCCTGTTTGCAAGCTCTGTGGGGGAAGGGCTCACCAAAGGAACAATGGCCTCTGCCAGCACATCTGTCCAGGAGAAAGCTGCCCCTCCATAGCTCTCACCCAGTTCCAAACAACTCAATTCTTGTTGGTATGTCTCTGGTGCCTTTCAGGCTGCTCCCCCCCCACCCCCCCATGCTGGAGCTAGTCTTCATGTGGCTTCTTTAATTTCGTAGTTGTAGGACTTCAATTCAGCTCAATTTCAGGTGGTCCTGAGTGATGGTGTTCTGTAGTTTAGTTGTAATTTTTTAAATTGATTGTTTAGAGAGAGAGAAGGAGGGAGAGAGAGATAGAAACATCAGTCGACTGCCCCCTGAATGCCCCCTTCTGGGGATTGCAGCAGAAACCTGGGCATATGCCCTGGAAATCGAACTGGGACCTCTCAATCCATGGGAGGAGGCTCAATTGGCTAAGCCACACACCCGCTGGACTAGTTGTAATTTTGATATGGTTTGAGAGGAGGAGAGTACTGCATTTACTTACACCACCATCTTGACCAGAAGTCAGTACCACACCTTATTACTTTTTTTCATGTTGTTCCTAACTGAAGAAGTAATTTTGAAATTCCTTGTATATATGGGTTAGTCAGTGCTATCTGATACCTTATTTTTCCAAATGTCTCACTCATTTGGTAGAGGATTAAAAAAAAGAAACCTAACCAACCAAACCAAACCAGAAAGGAGAGAAGGGAGAGGAAAAGGATGGGGAAAATGGAAAAAGAGAAGAAAAATAGCTTTAACATTTCAAACGTTAATAAACATATGAACAAAGATTTTATTTGATTGCTTGTGTTTGCTTTTTTTGTTGTTTTCTATACTGTGTGGAGTTTGGATTCCTTTAATAGGAAGACCTTAATATAATAGTTTCATGGCATAAGAGGTAGTAGGGAGGAGTGGTTTTTGACTAATGAAGATCTTTTAAAATCTCTTCTCCAAGTAAATATTCTTGTTGTTTAAAATTATTTCTGGCTCTCAGCTCCCTGGAGTATGTATCTGGTGTGTGTATGTAGATCTATAGATCAGTAAAAGACATTATAAAATCACATATACCAAGTTGTTTATTTCTAATTGCTTTTACTTTTAAATAGACAAGTTAATTAACTCTTCTTTTTCTTGGTATAGGAAAAAAACACTAACATATCTAAGTACATATGCACATTCTTACTAAGGGAAAATAAACATTTTCCAGCATAAATTTAATTAGCGGGGTCTTCTTAGGAGAACCCACAGGACAGATAACTGATTCCTCAGTAATTGAAACTGCTTTGCCTTTCCAGAACAGTTACCTTGTTTTTAACTCGTGAGGTTATTTTGAATTCTGAAATGGACCGTATTTTTATCTTTGCTTCTGGAAAACTCATATTTTGGTTCATCTGCGGTACAGAAATATAAGGAATGTATTTCGAGTTATTAACCTTCTTACCTATTTTTTTCTTTTCCCTTCTATCCATTGCTTACTTATTTTTTTTATCTGATACGCCAGGTACATGTTGCCTTCTATTCTTTTGGAGCTGGGTAAAGTGAAATAAATAAAACAGTTACCATAAGGATCAATGCACTTCAGTGGTTTCACTAGAAACTTTTTTTTTTAAATTGGATATTCTGTGGATGCTTTATTGAAATTTTAAAATTTGTTTTTTTAAAAATTATTTTTATTTGTTTTTGTTACAGATGTTTCTCCTTTCACCTCCATTGATACCCTCCTCCCCATCTACCCCACCCCCTCCCCAGCTTTGTTGTCTATGTCCATTGGTTATGCATACATGCATATAAGTTCTGTGGTTTATCTCTTCTCCCCCCTCCAGTACCCCCTCTTCTGAGGTTTGTCAGTCTGTACCCTGCCTTTATGTCTCTGGGTCAGTTTTGTTCATAAGTTTGTTTAGTTCCTTATATTCCACAAATAAGTGAAATCATGTGATATTTGTCTTTCTCTGCTTGGCTTGTTTCGCTTAGCATAACACTCTCCAGGTCCCTCATGTCGTCTCAAAGGATGAGATCTTTCTTTCTTACAGTTGCATAGTACTCCATTGTGTACATGTACTACAGCTTTTTTATCCACTCATCTACTGATGGACACTTGGGCTGTTTCCAGATCTTAGCTATTGTAAATAGTGCTGCTATGAACATGGGGGCACATATATTCTTTCTGATTGGTGTTTCAGGCTTCTTAGGGTATATTCCTAGAAGTGGGATCACTGGGTCAAATGGCAATTCAATTTTTAACTTTTTGAGGTAACACCATAGTATTTTCCATAGTGGCTGCACCAGTCTGCATTCCCACCAGCAGTGTATTAGAGTCTCCTTTTCTCCACATCCTCACCAGCACTTGTTTAATGATTTGTTGATGGCAGCCATTCTGACAGGTGTGAAGTGATACATAGATCAGTTGGATTTCATTGATATTTACAGAACATTTCACCCCAAAGCTGCAGAATATATATTCTTCTCAAGTGCACATGGGACATTCTTAAAGACAAAATAAGTCTCTACAAATTCAAGAATATTGAAATCATATGAAGCATTTTCTCAGATCACAGTGGCATGAAACTAGAACTCAATTACAATAAAAATACACAAAAACATTCAAACACTTGGAAGCTAAATAGCATGTTAATCAACAATGAGTGGGTTACTAACGAGATTAAGGAAGAAATGAAAAACTTCCTGGAAACTAATGAAAACAAACACACAACAACACGAAATCTATGGGACACAGCAAAAGCAGTCCTGAGAGGGAAGTTTATTACACTACAGGCCTACCTCAAGCATCAAGAATAATTCCTAATTGACTTTCTAACCTACAACTTAAAGAACTAGAAAGTAAACAAAAAGAAAAACCCAGAGCTAGTAGGAGGAATGAAATAGTAAAGGTCAGAGCAGAAATCAATGACATAGAGACTAAAAAAAAACAATTCAAAAGAGATCAATGAAATAAAATTTGTTTTTGAACTTATATATTTACATCTCTGTAAGCTACCTGAAATTTTTATTTGGAATAAGGCAAAAGCATAAATACATGTAAATATTTAATACCCAGTTTTAATAAGGAAGGTGCAAAGCTTCAGGCTTTTGTTATTTCTTGGGAAATGGCTTAGGAGTCACTTTAAATGCCATGACTGTTTCTTCATGACAGTTGTCCCTTATATTACAAATTTATAGATTGGTACATACCCAGACACACTCTTAAGTATCATGTCTTATCCGACATGATACCAAATTTATGTCATGGCATGTTGTTTCATGTTACCATAAAGTAGAAAGTAGAGATAAGTCAACAGATTGCAGTAGAAGTTTGTCTATAAAATGTAAAATTAGTGTTGTATGGTATGTTATATATATACTGTAACTATCACTTAAGGGTAATTATTAAAACTTCATTAATGCTTTCCCATTGTACAAAATGACTATAACTTCTATTGGCAAATAACTGAGAGTGACATTTTCAAGTAGTACCACAAGTTACAATTTTTACTTGTTCTTTTTCCATAGGTTCTGATCATAAAGCTGTTATTCATTCAAAATCCTCTCCTGAGATTACTCTGAGGTTTGAAAGTGGGCCTGCTGCTGTGATACACTCTTTGCTTGCAGAAAAAAATGGATTTCTACAATGCCATATAGAAAACTTTAGCACTGAGTTTCTTACATCTTCTCTTACAAATATTCAGCATTTTTTGGAAGATGATACTGTTGCAACAGTGATGCCAATGAAGATCAAAGTTTCTAATACAAAAATAAATTTAAAAGTATGTTAATAAATATTTTCACATTTTCCTGTTCTAAATGTTCACTTTGCCTACCTAAACTTTGGATTCATGTCTAAGAATATGTCTTCTCTATAATATATACTATACTAGCATTTATTGAAATGAATGTGTTGGTGTTGGTGTTTGTGGTGAATGGTAATTTCTTTGAAATTAGAATATATCAGAATAGAATGGTCAGTTTTCTCTGTAAATTACAGCATGTACAGATACATTTCTCACTCATTAGAAATACTGACTTAAGTATGCCCTGGCCAGTTTGGCTCAGCTGTTAGAACGTCGGCCCATGGACCAAAGAGTCAAAGGTTCGATTCCAGTTATGGACACGTACCTCAGTTACAGTTCGTCCCTGACCCTGGCTGGGGTTGTGCAGGAGGCAATCAGTCATTGTGTCTCTCTCATGTTCATGTTTTCTCTCTTTCTCCCTCCCTCCCTTCCACTCTATCTGAAAATAAATAGAAAAATATCCTCGGGTGAGAATTAAAAAAAAAAGAAAGAAAGAAAGAAATATCAATGATTATATTAATTTTACACTTACTTTAATAACAACATGCTGATATTATTTCTCTTTCCTATAGGATGACAGTCCTCGTAGTAGTACAGTGTCCCTTGAACCAGCTCCTGTAACCATTCATATTGATCATCTTGTGGTAGAGAGAAGTGATGATGGCTCGTTTCATATCAGAGGTATATATGAAGAACATTATTAAGTGAATATTTACTGAAATTTTAAATTAAATTATTTACATGATGATTGTTTCTTTTCAGTCATACTATTATGTATGTATGTAGATGATTGAGGGACACTTTCAGTACATTGTAATAAAATATTACCTATGTATGGTTCTCTGCCTTGGAAATAACTCATGTGTAGTTGATTTAGTACCCATTCTGCGAATGTCGTTTGTTTTTTTTTAATGTTGATTTTTTGAGAGAGAGAGGAAAGGAGAGAGACATAGAAACATCGATGTGAGAGCAAAACATCGATCAGCTGCCTCCTGCACGCCCTTCACTGGGGATGAGTCCGCAACCTGGGCATGTACCCTGACCGGGAATCAAACCAGGACCTCTCAGTCCATGGGATGATGCTCAGTCCACTGAGTAACACTGGCTGGGCTATAAATGTGTTTTGAATGAAAGTGAGAGGTTCTGTGGTCTTACCTGTCTCTTGATCTTAATTGGGTCTCTTACTTGATCTCTTAGCTTTATTTCCCACTATTCTTTTATATTTACTCAACCAACATGTTATACACCCTGACTGGAATTTGTCTTCCACTTTCCCATCTCTATAATCGTACTTGCTTGTTATTGCTCAGTAAACTGTACACTACTTTTCAAGATTATCTGTAGCTTCTCCTTTTCAATGAACTCAGTTACTTATAGTATATTGTTATGTATTTAGTTCTGCTTTAATGTTGATATTCATTCTGACAAGATTTTTAAGGTTTCTAATGTGAGGACTCCATCTTATAAGGTAGTATGGAGTAGTGGAAAGAGCTTGAGTCCATAGACTTAGGTGTTCTATTTCTCAGTTTGTTGGTAGCTATTTGAGGGTGAAATATGAGAGACTGATATATGCATGTATTCATCTCCTATCAAAATCTCATCAAATGACACAAAATATGTTAAAAGAAGAATAAAGTTATAACAGTACTACAAAAGAAAAATACCATTAGTGGACCAGAAATTCTTAAGAGATCAAGCCAGAGCGAGGAAAAGTGACAAATATTTGTAGCCGTAAACCCACAAAAGACAGGACTATTGCTGGAGTAGGAGCATTTTATAGGGAACTTTAACTGAAGAGTAACCCCTCGGAGTTTGGGGCCAACAGGGAAGTTAGGCCAACAAAGATCAAAATGTCAGCTTCTTTACCAATAAAAGCTCAGGTGGAGAACGGCATACTTTAAGCATAAATAAGTATGCTTTGTTTTATATAGAGTGCCCCATGTTTTATTTATTATATTAAAAACAGTGTCATGAAACAATTTATGTTATGTTATTTTTCTTAAGTGTAAATTAATTGCATTAAGGTCTTCAGTGTATCAACTGTATAATGTTACATATAGCCTAATGTACCATATAAGCTTATATGATAATGTATCAGTTGTGATAAATAAGTATTTAACAATTTTATTTGCTTTTGAGAATTTAGAAGAGCTTTTGGTGAATGCTTTGAATGGCCCCATATTTCTCAAGTAGCTTGTTAAGAAATTTCAAGATATGCTGGGGTTTTTTTTTTCATCCTTTGAAGCAAATTTATTTAGCAAGCAGGAACATTCAAAATAATCTCATTAAGCTATTTCAAAAATTAATTGTAGGTGTTTGTTGCTGTGATAATGGCAATCCGCTTAACATTTTTCTTCCCTCTTTCTTATTTTCTTTAGTGTATTTTAAGGTATACTTGCAGCTCTTCTGGATGTGATTAAAGTCCATCATGAAAGAATAGGTGTTTTATACTTTTTTTGCTTTTCATACTATTTCACACTTCTTGGGAAAGTCTTAAAAACAATTACCAAATTTTCAGTAAAGACTAAAGAGAAACTTCAAATAATTTTTCAGAAAATTAGAAAGCTACACTACAATTTTTTTCTTGTTCCAGTGAAATATGGCTAATTAGGTAACTACCATTAAGAGAAAAAGACAGAAAAAATTGTAGTGTGTGTCTATATATGGTATGTGTGTCTGTCCCATGCCATCTATCATTAATTACTTTTTATAGTAGTATACTGATTCTCAACAGTTTTTCCACTCCACACACCAAACGGTCTCGGGTTACTGCACATTTCATATAAGTGGAATTACACAGTATATGGTCTTTTGTGATTGGTATCTTTCACTTAGCATATTTTCAAGATTTATTTGTTATTACATGTATCAGTACTTCATTTCTTTGTATGGCCAAATAATATTTTATTTTATGGACATACTACATTTTGTTTTTTCATAACTTGATAGATATTTGGATTTCTGCTTTTTTTACTATTATGAATTATACAGCTATAAACATTTGTGTATAAGTTTAGGGTTAGTTTTCATTTCTCTTGGGTGTATATTTTAGAATGGAATTATTGAGGCATATTGTAACTATAACCATTAAAATTTTTTATTCTTTATTGATTTTTTTAGAGAGAGAGAAAGGGAGAGGGGGAGAGAGAGAGAAACATCGATGAGAGAGAACATCGATTGGCTACCTCCTGCATGCCCCCCCACTGGGGATTGGGCCCACAACCTGGGCATGTGTCCTGATGAGGAATTGAACCGGCAACCTCTTGGTACATGGGTCGACGCTCAACCACTGAGCCACACCAGGCCGGGTTATATTTAACCATTTGAGGAACTGCCAGACTGTTTACCAAAGTGGCCGCACTAGTCTACAAGTTTACCACTATAGTATATTGAGGGTTCCAGCTTCTCCACATCTTTATCAACACCTGTTTTTATCTGACTTTTTGATTAAAGGCATCCTAGTGGGTATGAAGTGATATATCATTATGATTTGATCTACATTCTTCTAATGGCTAATGATGCCAAGCATTTTTTCATATCTTTATTGGACATTTGTATGTCTTTGGAAAAATGTCCATGTCCTTTGCCTATGCTTTAAATGGATTTTTTGTCTTTTTATTACTGGGTTTTAGGAGTTCTTTACATATTGTTGAAATAAGTTCCTTATCACATATAATTTTGAAATATTTTCTTCCATCCTATGGGCTGTATTTTTACTTTTTTCATGGTGTCCTTTGAACCACCAAAGTTTTTTATGTTTCAATGGGCTTTTTGTTATCATTGCTTTTGTTTCATTTGTGCTTCTGGTGTCATATCTAAAAATTCATTAACACATTTGAGTTAATTTTTGTATTTGGTGTGTGGGTACGGACCATATAGACTCATGGTATTATTTCTGGACTCAGGTGTGTTCCATTTATCTGTATGTCTATCCTTGTGCCAGTACCACACTGTCTTGATTACTATTTAGTTTAGGAGTAGTTACGATATCAGGAAGTGTGAGTCCTCCAACTTTTTTGTTTGTTTGTTTTGACTGTTCTGGGTTCCTTGCAATACCATATACATTTTAGAATCAGTTTGTTAATTTCTACAAAGATGCTGGCTCAAATTCTGATACGAACTGTGTTCAAGCTGTAGATCAATTTGGGAAGTAATAACCATATATTAACAATATTAAGTATTTTCATTTATGAACATCCCCCCCCCCCCCATTTATTTAGATCTTTAATTTCTTTCAACAGTGTGATTTGGAGAGCTTAAGTTTTACACTTTTGTTAAATTTATTCCTAAGTATTTTTTTTTTATGATGTTTTAAATGGAATTGTTTTCTTAATTTTATTTTAGGATTGTTCATTATAAGTGTTTGGAATAACAATTGGTATTTGTATATTGATCTTGTATCCTACAGCTTTGTTAATAACTCATTCATTAGTTTTAAGAGTTTCTTAGTGGATTTTTTAGTTTTTCCTATATTCAGGGTTATGTCATCTATTCTAGTGTGGATGCCTTTTATTTAGTTTTCATGCCTAATTGCCTTAGCTAAAACCTCTAGGACACTATTAAATAAAAGTGGTGAGAGCAAACATCTTTGTCTTATTTCTGATATTAGGAGAAAAGCATGCAGTCCTATACCATTAAATATGATATTGGTTGTGGTTTTTTTGTAGTTAGAGTTTATCAAATTGAGAAGTTCCCTTCTGTTCCTAGTTTTGGATTGTTTTTATCATGAGAAAGTGTTGGATTTTATCAGATGTTTGTTCTGCATCTATTGAGATAATCATGTGACTTTTGTTTGATTCTTTTCTATTAATGTGATATATTACATCAATTGTTTTTTGGATATTAAATCAATCTTGCATTCCTTGGAATAAATTCCACTTTGCCATAGTATATAATTATTGTTATATATTGCTGGGATCAGTTTGCTAATATTTTGTGGAGGATTTTTGTGTTTATATTTATGAGCATATTGATCTTAGTTTTGTCTGGTTTTGGAATCAGGGTAATACTGGCATGATAGAATGAATTGAGAAATGTTTCTTCTCTTCTACTTTTTGGAAGAGTTGTGAAGATTGGTATTACAGTTTTCTTTAAATATTTGGTAGACTTCACCATTGAAGCCATCTGGGCCTGGGCTTTTCTTTGGGGGAGGTTTTTTTCACTGATTTAATCTCTTTACCTGTTACACATCTGTTCACATTGTCTATTTCTTCTTTGGTCTATTTTGGTAGTTTATGTTTTCCTAGGAATTTTTCTATACCATCAAAGTTATCTAATTTATTGGAATACAGTTCATAGTATTTCTTTATAATCTTTTTTTTTAAATCTCAGTAAGGTTGATAATAATTTCCCCTATTTTATTTCTGATTCTAATAATTTCTTTCCTTTTTTTTTTGGTTACTAACTAAAGTTTTGTCAATTTTGTTCATCTTTTCAACAAATGAGCTTCTAGTTTTATGAACTTTCTCTGTTGTTTTTCTATTTCATAATGTCTTCATACTAATAGAGGTTTATACATTTTTAAATTAGTTTTTCACAATAGAAATGAAAATTTATCAAGTATTTTAAAATGTTAATTGAGCATTTTATTTGTTTGATCAGATTCTCAGGTGCTTAACACTGGAAATGAATTGAAAGAAAATGTCACAAGCGAATCAGTGCCACTTACCAGTGGACAGTATGATCTGAAGGAACAGCACAGTGTCACTCAAGCCACTCAGACAAGCCCAGAGGTTCCTTGGCCTTCTCAGTCGGTCAGCTTTCCAGAGTGCTCCTTTGTTTTGACTAGGGAGCAGGTAATGGGGAAAACTCATTCATTCTTATTCCATTGCAGCAATTAAAATAAATGTCATATACTAAATAACTAGGAAGTTATTTACTTATGTAAGTAATGTTTATTGAGTGTCTGTTATGAACCCCACACTGTGTTAGATGCTGTGATATAGTGTTGAGCAAGATAGGGACAGGCTCAGCCTTCAGAGAGGTTGTAGTCTATTGGGCAGTTAGAGGAGTAAATGTGGGAGAGGGCTGGTTTCTGGAATCTAGGAACACTTCCTGGAGGACATACTCATTTCAATGTCTTATTTTTAAGTTGCAAAAGTATTAAAATATTTCAGAAAATATTTAAAACAACTCTAACACATTCTAACCTCCTACAATGCTGTTAGTACCTATTTATTTTCCTCTCAGGCTTTTTTTCTAAATAATTGTTATTCTAGTATATATACTGCATTTCTTTTGTTCCTTAACATTGTTTAACAATTATTTTTTTATATGCTTCATATTTATTTTTAATGGCAGAGTAATGTAGGCATACTGTCATTTCCAAAACTCCTTCTTAACATTTGTTAACATTTGAGTTGCTTATTGTTTGTCATTATCAATAAATAAAATATCTAGCAGGAGTTTAATTCTCTGTGATAGAACCACAGAATGAATTCATTCATCTGTTCAACAGGATTTGTTGGATGTCAGATCTGAACTAGGATATAGAATTGAACAGTATACCAGCCATATCTATTGAGAAACTCATAGTCCAGTGGGAAAGACGGGTGTGCAGATGGTGGTTACCGCATACTGTGAAATGCTATACTAGCGATTGAGGAAATACAGGAAGGTACCAGCTTGGTTTATAAGACAGGAATTCATAAGCTGGGACTGAAAGAAGTCTGAGAACTCCTTGAAATTAAATGCATATATTTTAATGTATTCGTAAATGCATTTTTTAAGTACTTAGTTTTATCAAATCTTCATAGTTAGTGGTTAGAGAATAGTTCTAAGAGGATAAAATACTTGAACTGAGTCTTAATGAGGAGGGGAGACCTATGGGCCATCTAGATAAAAATGTCTAATGTGATATTTAGAACGTGGGTCTAAAGCTCGAGAGAGTGGTTGATGCTGGATCAGGCTATGTATGCTCATTGGAGCCACAGGAGTACTTAGATCATCTAAGGGAGTGACTCAAGTGATAAAGGAAGGTGACCAGTTATGGAATCTAATAGAATAGTAAACTGTAAGGGTTCTTAAATAACAGAGGAAAAGATGAAAAGTCCACATGCAGAGAGGGGTAAACACGAAAGAGCTGTGGCATAAAGAGAGAAAAGGAGACACACGTAGGAAGGAGAGGCGAGGCTTAGGAGTGTCCAAAGCCTCAGAGAGGTCCAGGGAAATGAAAATTAGACTAAGTCACTTTTAGGTTTTGAAAGCAGGAGTTAATTAGTGTTTTGAATTGCTGGATCAAAACTTATAAACATTTTTAAGTGCTTGAAATGTGTTTCCAAATAGCTTCTCAAAGCAGTTTTCAGCATAAGTGCGCTCTCGTCAGCATTGGGTATTTTTCTGTTCCAAGTGTCACACCTTTAGCTGATATATAAATTGTCTGTATTTTCTGAAAATGATTAAGTTCTCTGGTTTTTCAAATGTATCATTTCAGCTCATGGAAGAGAATGAATCTCTTAAACAGGAATTGGCTAAAGCTAAGATGGCTCTTGCAGAGGCTCACCTGGAGAAGGATGCTCTTCTTCATCACATAAAGAAGATGACGGTTGAATAGCAGGCGTGGCCGTCAAAACTCACATTATAGCTCTGCAGTTGGGAGGTTATATTTATAATGAGATGTTACCAATTAGTGGGAGAATTTCCTTTTTGTGAAAAGACAATAAAATGAAATGGAATGTGATGAATGGTGACTATTCCAAAGCCAGTTTAGGAAGTATTAGGTACGAGCATTACAGTCTTTTGGTTGTTTTGTGTTTGGGGTTTAACCCTCTTTTAAACTGGTGTGATATAGGGAAGTCAACACATACTGTAAAGTAATTACATGTCTAATGAAAAGATGTCATTTTCTAATTTTGATATCACTATAGGCATTTTTTAAAAAGAAAAGTGAAAACCTATTGTGTTCCACAGATTACTTGATTTATCACTATCTTATAATGATTATTATCTACAAAGATTCAAATGCTTTGAGGGCTAATGTAAAATAAAAGGCTTACATTTTAAGTGTTATTAAAGTCATGTACTTAAATCTATAATTATCTAATTACTGTAAAAAGTCCAATCAGAATAATAAATTATATAATTACTGGGTTTGAAAATTCTGGAACATCATCACCCTACTGAACTTATAAAGTAACTTTGAAATGTGAAAAAGAAATCATTTTAATTGATGGGTAAACTGTATAAGTTGAGGCTATAACTTTCAACAAAAAAGATGGTACGAGTGTTAAAAAGCACAAACTGTAAAAAAGCAAAACATTAGAGTATATGGCCAACTGATTTAAAAAATGTTACTTGTACATTCCTTGAAACATTTATTGTTAAAGTAAAAGAGTAATTTAACTATCCTTCTAAATTTGGCAACATTTATAACTAAGAATTTTAATTAACACTATTTATATTATTTCTTTACCTTTGTCTTTTCTCTATTTAAGGAGGGGAATGTTTTCAGAGAATTATCTTTATACGTACAAAAAACAATTTCCTACCATTCTCGTAGTATCAGATTAGGTGGATGTTTGCACATACCCAATTTATATAGCTAGTTTTGATTAAAGTTCTTTGTGACATATATATAAAAGAATAATTGGTAAATTTTGAATTCTATTTTCTAGGGATTGTTGAGATGGAAGTCAGCGTGAGAGAGGATCTCAGTCATGCATTATGAAATAAAAGTTCATGAGTGTTGAAGCAAGAGAGGCTTTCAAAGATTTAAAATATATTTCTAATAGAATTAAACTAAGTCTGGGGGGGTCTATTTTAAAATGCACATTCTTAAATATAAAATATATTCAAGATAGAACATGAAACAGTTGGACTACTTTTTCTTTAAGATACTTGAAAATTTTAAACCACATTATGACACTTTATGGTGCTTTGCTTATTGGCATGACATATAGCCATCCCTATGTCTGAGTACTTGGAAGGGAATACGTTTCATTTACTTAAGTGTTGGAGTGACTTAGATTTTATTGAAAACAGTACCTTTTTTTTGTTCTATAACATCTATTTTCATGACATGACTTTAAAATACTGTCCTTGTTTTGGGATACAGCAGAGAACAAATATAAATTTTCAATATTTTACCTCAAAGTATTTAAAAATCATGTTAAACCATGTTAAACTAAAACTATGTAACTATCTTAGATTAAAAGCAAAGGTCTAATTAAAGATTTAACATGTGTAGCCAATATCCTTTGTAGAGTACTTTTGATTTATAGGTACCTATTCCACAAATGCAGTCTCTCATATGGAAAAGCAGATTTGAGGGGACATTAACTTCTTTAGAGCGGGCAGTGTTTCTCAGGATTGACCTATTTGCTCTATATTAATTTTAAACTTATGGTATATCATAATTGTTTAGTGTTATAGAAACTGAGTGTTCAGCTTATTCCTTTTCATTGGCCTTCTTAAGAAAATTATATAAACAGTAAAGATGATGGAGATTTAAAATACACTTTCTCATGTAATTCTCACAAGAAAACCTGGGAGGTAGGTATTATTCACATTTTAGAAGTTAAAAGTTTAAGGCTGAAAAAGGACAAGTGACTTGACTGAAATCACAATTAACAACCTGCTCTTTTGATTTCAACCCCAGTTAGATGCCTTTATTTTACTTTAGTCATTAATTCACAGATTTTGCCAGGAATGGGGAGCATCACTGTCTTTTATCTGTTTTTTTTTTTTTTAAAGATAAATATACTTTTGATTGTGTGTGATATGTATTATTCAAATTATTTAAAAGATAGTGGGAGGGTTTTTTGATTAAGTGAATTTGAACCTTTTTGATGTGTGAGAAATATAGGAATAAGCCTATAATAAACTTACCAGAGTTCTTAAATCACCACATAGTAGAAGTAAAGTTGCCATATCTTGAAAAACATTTTTTTCTAAATCGGGAAGGAAATGGTAATCACGTTTTGGATTTTAATTTAGTGTATGTCAAAAACATTTTCTTGGTATCTTGTTTGTTTGTTTTTTCTCTTCTCATTTTATTCTAGAATTTCAAGACTACTTTGTGATACTATTTGTCTCGAAGCATTATCATTTTATTGTTATTAATTCTCACTGGAGGACATTATTGATGTGAGAGAGAAGCATCACTTGGTGGCCTTCCCGTTTGTGCCCCTACCAGGGATTGAACCTGTAACCTAGGTTATGTGCCCTGCCTGAGAATCGAACCCACACCCTTTCCGAGTACAGGATGACGCTCCAACCAACTGAGCCACACAGGCCAGTGCTGAAGCATCATTTCTAAGCCAAGTAAGAATGGCTGTGTGTGATTGCAGGCAAATATATGTGGGTTTTTATTGTAGTTATTGTTACTTGATAATTGCCAATACAGGAGTTATAACTTCCTCTTTCACACGTTTTTATTAACCTCCAGTTTATTCCAGGCATTTTCCTATTTCAGTGAATGGCAACATCATCACCCTGGTTCCCAAACTAGTAACCTAGAATTCATCTTAGACACTATCCGCTCCCTAACTCCCTCTCTCTTTCTACCCTTACTTTTATCAGTTCATTACCAGGTCCTATCATTTTACCTTGCTAACATCTCTCAAATTTGTCCACTTGTCTTCACTTCTCACCACCTTTCTATTCTAAGCTGCCATCAGCACCTTTGGCCTACGTTACTTGAATTGCCTCCTAATTGGTCCTCTTACCGCTACTCTGGACCTCCTGTGATTCATTCTCTATATGCAGGCAGAGTTTCTGTTTTTGAAGTACAGATTTAATCAAGGCAACCTACCCATTCTTACCCCTAGTTAAAACACTTCCATGACTTTTTGTTGCTCTTGCAATGAAAACAAATATTTTGTGACCTATGATGTCACATATATTAGGGTACCCATTTACTTTATAGGGTAACTGAGCATTAAGAGTTAATGTCTCATAAGATTAAAACTGGCTGACACATCACCTTAAAAAGCACTCAGTAGACATTAGTTATTACTACTGCTTAGCTAGCCTCATTGTGTACCATGTTTCAGTTACTTGGTGTTCTATTTTCACTGCACTGGAAGTATCAGGAGTGAGAAAGGGGTGCTTCCATACTGGAAACTTTGTTCATGCTATTCCACTGGCTTGAAATTACCTTTCCCTACTTTTTGCCTAGTTAATCCCTATTTGTCTGTCAGATCTCAGCTCATTCCCTAATTTCTAGCACAAAGCAAGACTGCTGTGACATGTTATCTCATGAACACATACCTCTAGCTACACTGAACACCTTTGTAATTTTATATGTATTTGTTTGATTAATGTAGACCCTCTAGATTGTAAACTCCATGAAGAAAGGAATTGTGTTTCTGTTGTTGTCATTGCTCAACTTTGTACTCCTTATGTCTCATACAGTGCCTGGCACATAGTAGGTGCTCAATAAATTTGTTGAAAGAATAAAATGGATGAGGTATCAAGGATGTTTTCAGGTATTGAGTTCTTCCTCTCTGTTGGACTGAGAGGAGATGGAACATAGACAGAAAAGTAGGTGGTGGCTATTAAAAGGGACAAGACTCCTTCAGTCCATAGAGGGAAAGGTGGAGAAATTTGCCGTATTGTGTTCTTCAGAATTTTGAATAGCTGGACTTCTAGTTAATTTATCATAAGCCGTCACAAAACGGAATTAGCATACCACTTCCTAAAGCTACTCCAGTGCCAGAATGGCATCTGGCTTTGGTTGTGGCATATGGTGTGTGGCTGTCGAGATGTGCCTGTGCCATCAGCTACACAGAATGGAGATGAGGCCCGAAGAGTAGTGGCTGAAAGTTTTCGATTTGGAGAAACTGGTAACGCAGGAACTTCTGGACCTAATTCCTTTTAGCCTATGCCTGGAGAGGCTAAGGAAAGTAAAATTTAATTTGTTTCAGTTTTCTTTTAGAACATGCAAGATACTGAAAGTTGAAGTTACACAGAATATAAAAACAAACAGTAATATTTTTAAAACACGAGTTCATTAAATTAAAAATCTTCAAGAATATATTGCTGTCTTTATTGAGAAATAAAAAAACTAAGGTAACAGGAAGCAAAAAAAGTAAGCATGGTGGTTTTTATAAACCATTAGATATTACCTAATGGATCATCAGAAAGTGGAAGGAAATTCATGATAATATTACAATACTGAAATTCAGCATAATCTATTGCCAACACTTCTGTGTAGTTTTGGCAGGTTTGAGAGTTTGAAACTCTTGTAAGAGAAAAACTTTAAGAAATATGAAATCATTGCCTTTTTTTCTATTTGTATAATAAGACGTATGATAATTTTTTGATCTTAGAGGAAAAAAAGGGTACTTAAATCACCCAGAAGAGTAATCTGGGTTTCAGAAGCTTCTGAAAATATATTTGGACAAAAGGCAATTCTTATAAATTATATTTTATTTTGAATTTGTGTCATTAATCAAAAATCAATTCATCGTTTACTAGTTATACGTAACTGATTGGATAGTAAATAACATTTCTTATTCTTGACTTATTCTTAATATTTATGTGAAGAAATGGATTGTTTAGGTGAAGAATATACTTGGTGTTTTGGTGGTTAGAGTACAGTGAGGTAGGCAATGAACCTCTTTCTTGTGATCATTAGCAGAATTGTTTTGGTTGGTATGACAAAAAACTCAAATACTGAATCATAAATGTCAAGAATAAATGAGGATGTTTTTATTTTTTAATGTGTTTTTATTGATTTTTAGAGAGAAAATGAGAGGGAGAGAGAGAAAGAAACATCAGTGAGAAAGAACATCGATTGCCTGCCTCCTGCATGCCCCCCATAGGGGATCCAGCTTGCAACCTAGGCATGTGCCCTGACTGGGAATCACTCCGGCTACCTCTTGGTGGATGGTTGATGCACAACCACTCAGCCAGGCTAAATGAGAATATTTTTCAAGACATAGATAGGCATGTGAATAAAGATTTAAATAAGTAGATACTAGAAGGATAGGGAGAAATAAGTTCATGGGGGTATGATCAAAGTCCATCTTTCACAATATTTTAAATCACTCCAATTAAAATAGATATACAGTAAAATCAGAGCAAGAACATTGAACAATAACCACAGTGAACAAATTCAGGTAAGGAAATACGTTAAACAAAATTTCATAATTAAGTACTTGAGAAGGATCTGTGATAAATAATC